GCTGGGTGAACACCTTCACATAGCGGTGAGAATTCCATATGGAGATAAGGACGGGGCAGCCATGGGCAAAATAATAAAAGAGGGATCTTATCTTGTACCTGACACACTGCATTCACAACCCACAAGCTATTTTCATGCAAATGTGAACTCATTCTGTGTCTCTGTCTTGTCATGTATGTGTGTGTGTGTATGTGTGTGTGTGTGTGTGTGTGTGTGTGTGTGTGTGTGTGTGTGTGTGTGTGTGTGTGTGTGTGCAGTCAGAGAGCCTGAGCAGTGAAAGAAAGTACCTGCTAAACCGTGTGTCCCAGCTGAGCTCAGAGTTGGAGGACGCCCACAGGACCATTGCTGCCCTGGAGAACATCAATGTGAGCACAGTGCCATCTACTGGACGTACAGTAGATGTCAACAGAGGGATAACATTTTTACAAAATGAATCATTGAGAGGGATCCATTCCATTTATTCTCCATTGCATTGTGCAGTTTTATAGAGTAAACACACTCCACAATCAAACCCGCTTCAAATCAGCCCGTACTATGGTAAGACACTCGGTTTAAAGTGACTGTTATTAACATTTCTCATTGGAAAGCCAAAGAGCTCAGTCCCAAATATAAATGTCCTGGTTACATTTTTTTTTGCCTGTGGTCATTTAATATTGAGTATCTGCGGATCCTAAGTCAGGTTTTTTTTTTCTAATTAGCCTGTACTCGTCTTTTTTCCTTACAAATTACAGCTGCACAGAGCTTATGTAAACCACTAAAAACATTAAAAAAAGATTGAAAGAAGATTGGGAAAGCTATTTAAATTTGTTTACCAGAAGAATAGATCTACTTTAAGGAAAGTTGATCTACCTCACTCCATTCCTATATTCCTGATATTTTGTCTAGTACCCCATAGTGTTTTTTTAAAATAATATTTGGGGAAATTATTGTCAATGTGGACGTTCTGTTGGCAGGAACATTTTAAAAGAAGTCAGACAGTCTCTCCTGTACTGCAAGCTCAACAAAATACTGAAGTTTAAAGTGCAGTTTTCAATCAACAGCAGCACTTTACATGCCATATTTCATCTGTGACCTGTGTCCAGCGTTGTAATGGAGAATGCACTCCTCCCCTGAAATTACACTATAAATTAAACAACCTTCAGAAATGAGATCCTCCTCCTGTTTGTTTTGCATACATTGAAATCAGAGTTAATGTCTGCGTTTGGTGTCTCAACCTCAGGTACCATGCTTGATAAAGGATTTATTGGAGAAGCACTTCAGCTCAGCTGAGGCCATAAAGTTTCTGACAACCTCTGCTCCAATCAGCCATTCTGCCACCTCTCCGCAAGGGGACAGCAAATCCCACACTCCTAAAATGGAGGAAGCAGCTCATGATTGGTCGACAAAATCAGAGGCAGAGCCGCAGAGGGTCACAGCCTTCATGCCGTTTAAACAGGAGATACCAACAACAGGAACTGAAGCATGTCTCTCAAGTCGACATGAGTCGAGCCACAGCCCGCCTTTCTCTGTAGCTGATATCAGCACTGCTATCTATAAGAAAATGGCTGCTGGTTACGCTGCCAGACCACAACCTCTCTATCCCCAAAGCCAACAGCAGCCTCCCCTGGGCACTAACCACACTGACGCCCCTCCAAACCTCCAGCAGGCCCATGTGGGTGGTGACAGCTGGGGTGGGAAGGCAGGGGTACAGGTAACACTTCTGGAGAAGGACGTTGTGGATGTGACCTCCTTGTCAGCCCAGCAAATCCTGGATGATTTCATGCAGCAGCTGCACGCCCATAAGGAGGCGGGTGGAGGGACAGAGCCACAGAGTGGGCAGGAGTGGGTGGGAGGAGCAGAAGAAACAGGCAGAGGGAAAATTTCTTCCAACAATATGGCAGGATGAATCAATATTCTCATCTTATTGCATTGAAATATATATTTATTCATATATGTTATTGATATTTGATTCAAATATTGTTCCTCCAAAATGCTGTGGCTAAGGGAATGTTTTTGTGTTTTGTTCTTGTTGTTGCTGTTTTGGTTTGTATATTATGCACTTTTAGACTCTCATAAACCTGAATACAGGAAAATGAAGTTCTTGCATTGCCAGTACAAGACACAGAAAAGACCAATATTTATACTGAAAGGAAAAACGTTCATTTTTGCAGCAACAGCATCAACGAAACCTGCAGCACAGCAATTGAATATTAAAAAAACATGCAGTCATAGAATACATTTTATTATAGTACCCAATTTCAAAGTATGCTTTATAAATGTCTTTCTTTTTTGGGGGGGACTTTTTATGCCTTTATGATAGCTCAGTAGAGAGAGAGACAGGAAATGGGGAGGCAGAGAGAGGGGGAATGACACGCAGTAAAGGGCCTTCCAATGCGGGATTCGAACCGGGGCCAACTGCAGCGAGGACTGTAGCCTCTACATATGGGGCGCCTGCTCTACCCACTGCGCCACTCGACGCCCCATAACTGTCTTTCTGTTTAAGTGATATTTGTAATAATGTGTCATTTAGTCTTTACTGTTCCCTTGTCATTTTCTCCCAAATTAACGAAGAGCATGTTGATCACATACAATGTTATCTGTGACATTCACTACAGGGCCACTATTGACAACAAGGAGTGTCAGAATATGGCTTCTGTGTTTAATAGCCATTATTGTAGAGAGAAGAAATGAAAAGCAAATCCAGTGTTATCTTTGATAAAAGACATCACTGACATTGATGGAAATAGTTTAAACAGCTCTTCATTCAGTGGGGAGCTCACCAGTTGATCTTATTAGTAAAATGAAAGACAAAGGTTCTAAAAGTACAAGACCTCAACAACTTCTGTAATTGTATACTTACAATAAGAATAACAGGGCTGAGGTCAGCGTACAGGATTATTCAGTAACCAACCTCTTATCAGGGTAGTTCTTCTCTGAATGTGATTTTATGTTTAATGGCCGTGCTATCAATTCATATAATTCAATACATGCCTGGTGAGTGACAAAGAGTGATATAGCCTTTTCAAATCCAGAACTGTGTTGAGAGAGCCACTTACTCTCTTTTCACACACTCCAGTGAGTTCACAATAGTCATCTTTCAACAGCAGCCTGTTGTACCATCAATATCAGTGTTAATGAGAAACAGTTTATTTCTGCACAGAAATAACCTCATTTGTTTCCTAACCATTGTTCATTTTAACAGTTGTACTTCATACTTGTGAAGAACAACTCTTGAGCTTTAGGAAGCAGATTGGTTACTGATTTTCAGAACACACCAAAGAAAACTGCTCATACACTGATATGAAGTTACAATAAAAAAAAAAATCATTCACTTATTTGTTAGAAAAATAATTTTAAGTGAGCAAAAAAAAAAAAAAAAAATATATATATAGAATTTAATATTACTCTACATGTGTGTAAATGTTTATTTTATCTGTGTATGTGTATATATAATACATAAATATACTGGTCCTACCTTTTGGAAATAATACGATGCTCAGGGTAGATGTTTTAAAGTGCTTTAGAAGGCAGAGAAAAAATGTACAGTTAAGATTCAAAGTTGTTACAATGGAGAGTTGTTGTGACAAAGTAGATTAGATCATGTGCAACAGCAACATATTAACGTTGTTTTAATCTGTATAGCCCTGACCTCTCATCAGTGTACACTATACCCCCCTACACTATGCAGCTATGAATACTGCTCATCTCCATCAATTCAATATGTAACTGTGTCATTACAGCTGTTCCACCAATAAAAATACTCATATTAAATGAATGCAACACCTCATATTACAGACGTCTTTTCATTAGTCATTAGTTCTTTCTCTGTCTTCTTGTAAACTTGTAAGCGTTATCTTTCTCAAAGCCTTAATCTACCATTACCTGGGCAAAGAAGTGTAACATTTGTTCGCCATGTGCAAGAATTGAGTGTCTGGGATCTCCAAAATCACTAAGAATTTTCTCCTGGGGGGCTTGAATATCTATACCAAATTGCAATATGGCTGATAATTCATAACACAATGGTATTATGGACACACCGACTGACCATCTCTACCACTAGAGGGCTAGACAAGTCTGCTTATTATCTCAGTATCATCAAATGTCTCAACCAATCTCTCTATTTAAACACACCACTGTAGATGTGATTAATGGTAGTTTGGTATAAAGGGGTTGACTGTTTGTTTTTCTGTTTGGTGTGTTGTAAGAACTGGTAGTGTGAGAGTGGCCTCAACCTAGCTATAGCTCTGACTCAAGCTGTCATAAATACTTATAATAACAGTTTAATCCTATTGATCCAACCCCACCAACCTCCCTCCCTACTGTATTCATAATCCCATACAAGCATAACTCTCCCCTTCGTTGTCTTACTTTCACTTCACATGAACAAGCCTCTGTTTGACCAATCCCAAAAAATCCCTGATATCATTCATTTCTCTTACACTCAGGTGCATCATTGTATCGTAGGTTTCAACTTTTTTTAAAACTTGACACAAACAACTTTAGTTTGAGTGGAGTTGGGTTGAAGTAAGTAAAGTGATTAGTTGGTTGGGTTTAGGTTCAAACTACGTATTGAAATAGAACAACCAGTGCAAGCAGAGGGTTCATTAAAGGCCAACTAACATTTGCTAGTGTTTGAAGTAAAGCTGATATTTAGGGCCAGTTTCAACACAGGCTTAGATGTTTTTTCCTCTAACTATATACTATATCTTTGCCTAATTATACAAACATCAAGTGATGCTGACAGTAACCTAGTTTTAGTTCCACACGCAGATCTCGTGATATCCCTAGCCTCAGTTAGCAGTCATGATACTGTATTTTCTCTGTCTCTCTGAGGCATCCATAGTGCTCCAGTGTATGCTAATGCGTTTCAGGTAAGTCCACCTGTCATAATAGTCCATCAGGCCCTCCCACAGGTTACTACATGTCTATCAGAATAAGTTTGCTGATCAGACACTGGCCTGCTTTCCCATTGGCCCTTGGAGTTTAATAGGATCCCAGGGACTCTGTTGGGTGGATTACGGCTCCAAACTATCGACTTTGGTCAGTCTCTGTGTCCTCCAACCATGGGTACAGCGGTTTAGGGGGGCGCCGCACAATCACAGACCCAGAGGGGCGCCATCAAAAGACAACATCACGTCAAGAGGAAGAAATCGTTGCTTTCAGCTTGAAGGGGGGACTACGGCGGATTGACCAATTAACTTGAGGGGAAAACCTGCCATCTCTGGGAAAAGGAATATCTCTTTCTCCATTCTTCATCCATCAGCAGTTTTCATTTCACATTTTCCCAGGGTTAGACGATACTGAATTGGATTATAAAGAATCTTTTTGGGACAATTTCAGCATCCAAGTGAAAGCTTTTGCATTATCCTCTGAGGTCGACTGTGCCCTTTACCATCTGAGGGGATCTACCTGCTTATCCTCTCCACCTGGAACAACTTAGATGAGCTCAACCTGCTAATAACTCACCAAACAACAAGTGCAAGGCCACTGCATTTCTGCAACATTGAACCAACCATCTGCTTTTTACATGCAGCTGGCCACCTCTGGATCAACTCTATTTTTTACCAGAATTCACTGAACTCCTTCTTCTTCTCTCCTGCCCCCCCCCACCTCTTACTCTTTTCTCCTTGTTTTGATTGGTGTATGTTAGTGAGCCGTTCAAGATGCTGTTGAAGATGAAATTCACCCAGCAGAGGCGGGTGCGTCTCGCCCAGGGCCTGTGGCTGCTGTCCTGGATGGCAGTTATGTGGGGGGCCTTCATCTTTTGTCTCGGGGTTTACCTTAAGATAGAGCTGCTCCGTAGAGCCGAGGTAGAGAGGGACACACACACACACACACGCACACGCACACGCACACGCACACGCACACGCACACAAATACAATGTCAACTTGAAGACTGGAAGGCCAAGTGGGGCTGCATTCTGAAAACACTGGAATGATTTCAGTCAAAGTTACACAAACATTGGTTTATATGCTCAGAGTTTTGCCTTTGCTCGTGGTTGTTTACTGAGTCTGCTGTGCTGTCGCTTATCAGTGGCTTTTATTTAAAGTTAGCTCTGCAGTTTAATCCACAAATACAAACACGCAGCACTCAAAACACTGGTGTAAATATACACACAGCGACACTCAGGCACATCCATGCATGTTAAATCATGAGGATAGAAGATGTTGCGAGCTTTTAAGTAAAATCTACATTCCCCCCCAAAATCATTATTGTTCAATGTGCATTGAATAGGTAACATGACCAGCAGGTGACGGTCATGACATTGGGCTTAATAGATCACTGATGGATCTGGATAGGTTAGAAGCATTGATATCCAGTGGGCTGCACAGGAAAGATGCAGGGCAGGATGCATGCCTTTAGTCATCTATTGATCACCAGTGTGAGAATCTGATTTTCTAGTCTCTTAATTGTGTAACAAAGTGTCATTGAGTTGGCATAGAGATGACTGAAATGAGTGAAATACAAGAAAAGGGTCTTTCAGAATGATTCACATGAGCTTAATCCTCTTTTATTTGTTATTTAAACACTTAATCTCAGATGTCATCTCATTTAGACAATTTACTTGGCACTTTACTTTTTACAGATCAAAGACAAAACTGATTATTTGAATGAATCAAAATGGATTCCTTCTCAAAGGGGAACCAGAGACAGAGATTATTTGTCCTGAATTAAATTTAAGCGACATATGGCTGCACAGTTTTTAGTAGGTTAGGATATTAGAAAGTTGCATTAGTACTGGGTTTAGTTTTTTAATGGTCATTTTAAAACAACAATGGGACAAATTTTCTTTACCGCTGAAAGGCTTTTGAAAAATTAGCCAGTAATAATTTCAGTTCATAACTGACTTTTGTTGTAACCAGGGCAATGAATTAAAAGTGTCATCATATTTCCACAGTAGCCTTTGCATCCAGCATATCAGCAGCTAATTGAATCTCTTGGCAGCCAGGGCCATAAGGCGAAATGAATTCAGGATTATTACCTGCTAAAGTGGGCAGAGGAAATGACAATGTGACCTGCAGTTGGCTGCTGCTCTTGTGGCTATTATTATCTTTGACTGTGCTCTTCCTTTCTTGAGGTAATGGACAACACAGAGATCCACGTGGTGCCCAACATCCTGATGATGGTGGGCCTGGCCTCCATCGGCACCAACTGGGTGGCCAGTCGTGTCTGTCAGGACTCCTTGGATGCAACTCGTTTCCCCCGTTGGAAGGTTGTCCTGTTGGCCTGGTTTGTTGTAGCTGCACTGCTCAGTTGTCTGCTCCTTGCTGTTGTGGTGCTCAGCTACGCCCTGCAGGGAAGCCTGGAGGAATCTCTGAAGGTGGGGTCATTAGGCTGGGTAATGACTCGGGGTAGAATAGGTGATAGGAGATATGTCCCATATCAAGATGGTGTTTTCTAATCCTCAAGTCAAACGCAAAATGCTCCACCTTAAGTTGATGTGGCTGAAAGAGTCTGCCACCCGTAGAGTTCAGAGTGTTTGGGTTAGAGGGAAGAGGGCTGTCCCATTTTATTCTATTCCATATTAATAATGATAATGATAATAATAATAATAATAATAACAATAATAACATGCATTTATCAGTATTTAAGAAAACAGCAAACATCAACCATTTTCTGTCATCTGTTTTCATCTGAGCTCTCATCCTTCTTTAAATGTAGCATTAAAACTAAAAAATCTACTAACTAAAAAAAGATTTGACAATACTTTCATTGACAATGTGGAAGAATTTCACAGACAAACCAGACAAATTGGGATCAAATTAGACTTTCACTTTTCCCTCCCCACTGTCAGGTGGGCCTGAGGAATGGCATTCGTTTCTACAAGGACACAGATGTGCCAGGCCGCTGTTTTCAGAAAGAGACCATCGATCGTCTGCAGATGGAGTTTCGTTGTTGTGGAAACAGCAACTTCAAGGACTGGTTTGAGGTTCAGTGGGTCAGCAACAGATACCTGGACTTCACCTCCAAGGATGTCAAGGAGTGAGTGAATTGCAGTACAGTGATAAGCAAATTATGAGATGCAGGGAGGTAAGATGATGAACCAGAAAGAGAAGAAAATGGACTTATGAGGAGTATTCAGAGAAGATAAGAAAAGGAAATAGGGAGGAAATAGAGGTCTAGATGAGTGACGGATAAATAGACTTCATATCTAAAAAGGTCAAACAATCTGTTATAAAGGAAGGATGGAGGGACGCTGGGAGAAAAAGAGTGATGTGAGGGCAGAGGAAGAGTGCATTAAAAATAGCTCTGGCCTTTACTTTTGAAGCGAACGACTGAAATGGATGGAAAGGTTGGTCATGATGCAAGCAGAGAAAGGTTGGTCAAAGATAAAATAAGTAAAAAGGAATGAATAAACAGAAAGGTTATGACATGATGACACATGTATAGAGAAATTGCTAATTTCTCACTAATGTGAACTATGTATTGAGATAAAAGTCAGGCCTTTAACTTGACTGAATTTAACATTTTCTTTGCTTTACCTCCCAGAAGATGAACATACTTTCTGCTTCTCTTCTTTCAGTCCTTCCTTTCTTTGACTCTCCTCTTACTCTTCTCCCATTTCTCTCTCTTTTTAATGTTTCATCACCTGTTTTCTTACTGCCCCCCCTCCGTCTCCAGTCGTATCCGGAGTAATGTGGATGGCCGTTACCTGTTGGATGGTGTACCTTTCAGCTGCTGTAACCCAGCCTCCCCTCGCCCCTGCCTGCAGTACCACCTGACAGATAACAGTGCCCACTACAACTACGAGTACCAAGCAGAGGAGCTCAACCTGTACAGCCGCGGCTGTAGGCAGGCTCTGATCGACTACTACATGGGCTTGATGAATTCAACTGGTCCTGGTGTGTTGTCAGTCATCTTCGTACAGGTGGGTTACCCAAACAATTCTCCAGTGATAATGTAATTGTGGTGAAATAGAGGAAATGCAGTATTTATCCGAGGCAATTAATTAATTAATAGGATTTAGTTTTTAACTGATTATTTAAAATTCTGAGACGTTTGCTTCTCCAGGCACCAAACACAGTGTGGGAAGAAATTACACACACACACACACACACACACACACGCACACACGCACACACGCACACACACACACACACACACACACACACACACGCAAAAAGTAGTTTTCTACTTACGCAAACACTGTCATGACGACCGACAAAACAGAAAAATTCACTGAGACACATTGATTTCTGTCTTTTCATCAAACACGCACTTTCACTTTTTGCCAAATAAGACTATTGATGGCTTATTCTCTTCAAATAACAAACAAGACCTTGGGCTGGAACTTGATGCTCATACATGTGTTTAACAGAGCATCATTCACACACTGCCTACAGCTAATCAAAGAATCTATATCAGATTAGTGTGATGTTCTTTCACCATGTCCGCATTGTCAGGGGCAGATGACAGGGGCCACGTGAAGAGTGAAAACGATGTTCCCAAACAAAAGAGGGAAGAGGAAGCATGTGATAAAAAATATGTTATAAATATGTTGTGCAGCAATGACTATGTCACAATGAATTCATTCATGTATCATGTAAGTCATTGTATTGTGGACATAAAAGTTTGGTGATGTGAAGGGACTGTATGAAAGTTATCAGGGTGGGGATTTCACTTTTTAAAAAAGTAAGATCCTGCACATTATTATCAATGTTTTGTTCAATATATATAATATTAGTGTTTGTATGATTAACATATCAGTATTCCATTAATATAATAATATATCTACATAATTAATATTTATTTGGACCTTACTCTTGACTACAGACTTGTATATATATATATATATATATATATATATATATATATACAAACCTAAAACAACAATAGGCCTACAAAAACTTTTTCCATTTCCATTCCCTAAACCATTATTCTATAAAAGTGTGAATATTTCAAATGTTCATGTAGGCTACCCTGTCCTGCATTTCTAATGATCATGCTGATGCTTCCATGGTCAACATGAGTCATTATCATTACTATCATTACAACTTTATTGTCCATCACAAAGCAATGAACACTGAATAGGTTCACACAGTATACACAGAATAAAAAAACACACTAAATTAAAAATGTCTGTATGAGTTTAGAACAGTAAAGCTGTACAGGAAATACCAAAGTGAAAATAAGAGCATGTATTAGTCCTTGGTTTATCAGATTAATGGCAGTTTGAATAAATGAAAACATATTTGTGGCTAGAAGTTGACTGACTGTTTCTTCACATGATATCATTGTTAATACATTTGTGATATAACCTGATGGACATTTGTGTCAGCCCATCAAGCCATTTGAGCATCTAATTTGGTGACAGACACACAGATTTTAGATGCAGTTCTTACAGCATCTTCATTTCTTCTTTCCGGTCAGATGTCGGTGCTTGTGAGCCTGCGGTACCTGCAGACGGCTGTGGAAGGAGCCATGGCTCTGGAGGACCCAGAGGGCGACAGTGACGGTTATCTTCTGGAGAAGGGAGTGAAAGAAACCTTTGAGGATGTCAAAGCCAATGTCCTCAACATGCTAAAGTTAGGGCAGGTTGACCCCACCGAAGGGTCCCCTGAGGATGCCGAGAAGGCTGCCTCTCCATCTCCTGCCAGCTAGAGGGGAACAAAAAAAGTTCAAATATGAGTTGAGGAGGAAAGGATGCAGGGGGGTGGGAGGGGTGTGTCTGTGGTTTCTTGGTTGTGTGAGTTGGCTGATGGCGGGTAAAACACCTGTTGGGTTTTGACATGTTAGGCTTGATTTATTCTCCACCAATGCAGCAGCCGCAGCTTCCTTGCACATGGCCAAAACAAGGCAAAAACATAGGGAATCTTATCGGGCCCTGCACAGACACCAAAACAAACATCTCCTCTATGCAGGAGCTCATGAATGTGTAACCATCAGAGAATCTGTTCGGGAGATGTGTAGTACTTTTTGTTGCAACTAGAAGAGTGTACATTCACTTTAAATGGATGTAGCGTACACAGGCACATATTTAACACGTTTTGACATTTTGAATTAAATTTGACACAGTCACTATCACATGATGCTTAAATTTCATCCCATGTGCACTGTTTTATTCATCTCACAGCTGTAGACTTTGTACTAAACTGCAATGAAATGCTTAGGGATCTTAAAATGGCAACGCACGTGAATTATACATTAAAGGTAGAAGTTTTTAACTGCTTTGTAGTGTCGGCTTCCTTTTGTACATGTAATATTATAGAGGATTGTATAAACTGACTGTGGGTTATCTGAGTTCAGCAAGGAGAGTTGGATTAAGTGTGTGTGTTTGTGTGTATATGTGTATGTGAGTGTGGTGCCCTATATGAAGCTGTCATCTAGTCTATTCTGGCAGCTCTGAAACAATCTGATAATCCTGGTGTAGTTAATCCCAGAACTGCTGCACAAGCAGTATCAGCGCACACTGACAGCACACACGAACACACTCCATCACACAGAGACAGAAACAGCACACTGATACAACAACGTTGGAAGTGGTTTTATAAAGCAAAGCCGTTTTTAAATGCTTTTTACTCGCAAAAGGATATATGATGGTGATCTGTCCTAGCTACAGGTATATCCTATGTGTGCTCATTCTTCTTAAATAAAACTCTATCACAGAATGAGGTCAAAGGAATGTTTTATTTTATTCATAACAAGCAGATGAAGATGCTCTCAGTGGTTGCAGAAAGACACGTTCTTTAATTATAAAACACAGGCAGCAGAGGTTAAAAGGTTCGGTTTTGGGTTAGTCAATAAATAGTTTTCTTGAATAATTACAACAAAGCAAATGAAAATGTTGTTCAAGAATAAAAAAATTAAAATAAATAGATGAATACACAAACAAATTTGGCAAGTAATTTTGAATTTGTCAATCCTTAAACATTTGAGATTCCCAGCATTCAAGTGAAAGAGGAGACTTATTGTAAAACACCTGTGTACAAGGACGTACATACTACATGAATAACAATATGCAGCTGTCTAGACCTTCAGCTAGAAAGGGGTTTATATGGCAATAAATCCACATGCCATCTACAAGCTAATGAAGTGCAGGTACAGAGACAATTTCTTAAAATAGTTTTCACTGTGCAGGAAGTGCAGCACATACATAAAAAGAAAGGCTGCTTGGTTACACTTCCCCCAGTGTTTTTGTTATGGAAATAATGATGTAATTCATAATTTTAAAATGGGCAAATAGGGACTTTGATTTTAAACCACCAGGGGTCGCCATAGCACAGTCGTTGAATAGGTCTTGACCGTGTTGCGTTGAGGACTTGGAGGAACACTGGCACCACTACAGCTCTGGCAACTTGTTGGTAATAATAAGTTCATTCAAACCCTGGTGCTTGCTGTAGGACTTTACACCAGGCCCCGTAGCACGTGGTTTTTCTCATGGAAATAGCCTGTTCTGGGTCAAATCTAGGTTTTATATCATCAAACATTTTCATATCGCCGTGTAGCCTCGATCATGAATTCAAGAGATGTCGCACATAATCAGTTGTTATACCTGTTTCATGTTGTTTAAAGCCCATAGCAGGAAGTGAGACTCAAATATCTACCTTTAAGAGCACAGTGCACGTTTTGTCACGTTTGCAGGCTTCATTCTTAGTCATAGTATAGTCATAGTACATCTCTGTAGCTTAGACGTTGAGTGGAGTGTGAAGATGTCTGCTCAGAGAGAGAGAGAGAGAGAGAGAGAGAGAGAGAGAGAAACGCAACATGTGAGTTTTGAAAATTCCGGTGTGGTTTTGCAATGAAACTGACACAGAGAGAGAGGAAGAGACAGCGAGGTGGAGGGAGGGAGGGGACAGGCCACAGAAATGTCAAACTACTTCACTTGACGGGAGATTGTTTCTCTCTCTTTGATTCATTACTCATATAATGTTTTTAATTAGCGATATTCTGTAGTGTTTCCCAGCTCTCCCAACACAACAATGGACTCTAACATTATGGAGATAATTGAGGAATTCATGGAAAGTGCGTTGGCGCAATGGGTACGTCATTTATCATTTATCACTTTGAGTTAGAGAAAAGGTCATCATTTCTAGAGGCACAGAGAGGAGAATAAACCACGAAGATTGTCTAAAGACTGTGTAGAGCTTGGACAGTGACCAGTTCTGTAGTAAACCCTACATTATTTCCAGTCACAAATACTTATAACTTTGTATATTTTAGAGCAGCCTGCTTTCCAGTAGCTCCTATTCACCCAAATAAATAACCAGGAGTTGAATAAACAGCGAAAAACAGCCTAGAGAGTGTCTTTTTGCTATTGTGTACAACAAAACAAACTCCACTTCTCCTTTTGGCAGCTTCCCTTGCCTCTTAGTGACCAGCTTTTTTTTTCTCTCCTAGCTTTGACACTTCCACGTCAATGGGCGGTTTGAGATTCAAAAAATAATACAGAGTTATTTACTGTGCATTCAAGAGAATATAGTCTCACAAAAATCAGTTGAGGATTTGTTGCTTTAGTAACAGACTGAATTTCCAGCTGGGTTTTCCACATGGGAAACCAATCGGCCTGAGGGGATTTCTTCCCCCTTCTGGTCAATGAACAGTATTTATGCTATAGTGTGATACTCTGCTGAAGCTTATGAGGATAGTCGTTATTGTTGTCCTCCTCCAAATACAAGGTCAAAGATCAATTTCAACAGGATGCCTGCAGCTGACAAAGGGTCAGTATCTGCTCAAGGGCACTTCAGCAGGGCGGTTATTCACTGACACGAGAACTTTCACCCTGCGTCACATATGTTGAAGGACATCCACTGTAATTGCTCTGCTACCATGTCTACCTGGTCGCACAGGGTCACAAGCTCCTCTGCCTCACCTCATCAGCTGAACCCACTCGAGGTTGTTACTCTGTTTACCCACAGTGCAGTTTTTAGAAGGTGCAGGTGGGAATAAACCTCATTATATTGCAGTTTGCATTGGCACAGCTCTTCTTAGCGGAGAGAGGGACCTTGGCTGCAGTCCTGCTTGGCTGCCTGTCACTGTGAAGTGCTTCCCAGTGTGAGAGCACAGATCCCACCTGTCCAGACAGGTGCACCAACTCAAGTGGCTTCCTGTGTGAAAATGTTTGTGCCTCTCCATCTCTTGTCGCTTGCTCTGTACCTATTTTCTGCTCCTTTCTCATGTCTTCCTTGTCTTGTCCACTTCCTTGTCCACTCATGCTTTTCTCCAGACATACAAGATAATCGCTCCCTGTCTCTCACAGGTTCATCTGTTTGAGAAGATGGTGGGGAGTGAGGACGGCGTCCCGCTCTACAGTCAGTATATGGAAGTGAACTCAATTTCCCAGAGTGCCCGGGATCGCTACCTCAGGCTGACCAATGGGATTTTTCTCAATGAGGTCATGAGGGTCATGTAAGATTGATTTATATTTTCTTGCTTCATTGCCTTGCAGCTTTACACTGGAATAAAATTGACAACTAGACAAAGGAAAATATGAGCTAATTTGATGAATGTGGGGGCATTTTCCAGTGAATTGGTAATGTTAGAGGAGCATTTAAATTTTAAATTAGAAATAAAATATAGAAGAGTCTAAAGTGCTCATTTTGAGCCTTTGTTGGGAAATTTGAAAACAAAAAAAAGAAAAGAAGCTAGTGTAACCTTGAGGTTAGTTGCAAAAATTGGCCAAATCCATGGCTTTTTATTAATAAGTTAAAAAGTGGAAATGGGCCCGAAACCCATTCTCCAGTTAAACTCCAAGGCTACTTCTAGAGTGTAATCCATTAAAAACATTGAATAAATAAGAGTAATAAGTAAGTATGACTGGTTTTTAACCATGCTAGTGGTGTAGCTTTAGGGATGGCAAATTGTAATGTACTCCTCAAAATGAATTGTAATCACTTTGGTCCCCTCACATCTTATCTGGTGCCATCACCATGTTAACATTTTTATTTGTCAAGCTCTTTGTTTCATGACCAAATACCTGTAAAACTAATGACACTTCATTTACACTTGTTTATTGCTAATTAGCTAATGCTAGCATGCTAACACATAAACAACAGTCCCTTTTTATACAGCCTGTTCGAGGCGGGAATGTTGCGCCTTTATTCCGCCTCGGACTGAGGGGGCATTGTTGTCCTAGCAGTAGGCCGGCAGCGGAGGTAGTCAGACAGCTGGATCGACATCCGTGTAAAATGAAGAGCCAGCATGCTATCTTAACTCACACACAGGGGAGGCAATGTGTCGGCTTTGTTTGGTCCTGTGTAAATAAGCAAAGCCAGCATAATTAGGTGTCTTCTTAACAGCAATATAGCAAGATTTCTGTGTAAAAGGGGCTAAGACAGTGAACATAGCATTGTCATTGTTGGCATGTCTACATCAAAAGCACAGCTTTACAGCCTCACATAGCTGCTAGCATAGCTGTAGACCCTGATGTTTTTCTTGCATAAAATTTGATATAACCTGGATCACATTCCCTTTTGTAAACTCACATTGTTCTGCAGTCAATGTGAAGGGATGGCATGAATGTATGACCCATTAATATTTGCCACAAATTTCCAGTGAATCATGAGATGGGGTTCTGCATACGTGCCACTGTGTTAGTCGTCTCTGCTGAATTCCTTATCTCCGTGTTCAAATTTCAGCAGAATAAAACCTTTTCTCCCTCAACTGGCAAGACAAGATCCTAGTCAGTATTTGGCGAACAGCTGATTAATTTGGCCTGACCCAAGCCACGTTATTTCAACAAATAATTACATGAGGATTCTCACTGCCTGCTTCTCAGGCTCATTAAAATTTTATTCACTCTCTGCTTAAATGCACCGTTGCATAAGAATTTCTCATCAGGAGAGATGTGTTGCTAGGCTTTTTGATCAAGCTGCAGTAAATACCCCGCCTTGTCTTTTCTGTGTTCATCCCAGAGACCCCAACCCCAAAGTGGAGCGGCTGTACGACAGTGGGAGAGATGATCACATGCTGAGAGTACAGAACTTTTCTATTTTAAATCGACACCTCAGAGCCTTCTACCAGGTAGGGGAGGGTCACGGGCGGGAGGAGGGGGAGGTCGAGGAGTTAGATCAGATCATCAGGAGGGAAATCAGGAGTGATGTGCTGAGAATCAACAGAGCATGCATTGGCTTTCTCAAAGACTTTTAAACATTTCCACCATTAAGTGGGTGAAATGTACAATGAAGTTTCAGTCTGTTTACAGCATCTCCATTGTTTTTTGACTCCTGAGATACAATTTGTAAGAGTTTGTGACAACAATGGAAATACCATAGTCTATCTTTTGATGTATTGTCTCAATTTAATTGCATTTTTGCTCTTTTTAAACAGCACTTTATAAATGAGAAATTTTAATGTTACTTAAGAATTGTCAGTTTGCCTCAAAGTTGTGGGAATCTGGTTTTAAACCTTCTGTTTACTTTTCTTGCTTCTCGCTCTTTTCTCTTACCCTTTGTGTTAATTCATCCAACATGCCGTAAAAAGTCAAAAACTATAAGAAAGTGATTGACTGACAGTGGTCTCTCTAATATACTCGGGTTCAGAGAAGGGACAGCCCACCACTGAAGCGACTACAGATATTCCAGAGGTTTTAATGAAGAGACCTTTATTGCTGAACAAAGTCTTGGCAGGATGTGTATACTGGCCTTCTTAACAATAACCTTTAAAAAATAATAATGATAAATGTGATTTGTAGCTGTATTATGAGTAATGCATGATGTCAACTTCAGTGGACACAGTTTATTCGTAATTCTCTGCATGTGTAAAATAAATATTTGAGAAATATAACGATATTTCGTTGGCGATCTTGGATGATGGGGTTTTTATCCACATTTGCATTTATTGGAACTTGGTGGCTGCTTATGGTGTATTCAAGGACTATTCTCTGTAGTGACTGATATATAGCTACACCCATCCGAGCCCAGATATATACAGGAAAATTGGCTTTTGAGTTGCTGTCCACTGTAGTGACCACTGTGCATGAAAGGGCCAGCTCATTATATCTTGTTTGTTTTTCTTCGTTGAAAAAATGTGTAAAAGCAAATTTCTGGGGTCTCTGTAGACACTGTGCCCGGGCCAGAACTATATCCCCGTAAAGCCACAACTTGTCATTTTTACAGTTCAGCTTTAATTGAATTAAGCTAAAACAAGCTGTAAGTGTTGCTTAGTGAGCTTTAGAGGAGCTGGTGGGCTAATTCAGCTAGCCAGTATTTACTATACAGACATGAGAGTGGTATCGAGTTTCTTATCTAACTCCCAGCAAGAAAGTGACTGTGTATTTTCTGAAGTTTCAAACTATTCCTTTGAGTCATTTTTCTGGTAGTTTTATCTCTGTGTAAGTAAAACCTCAATAAAGCTTAACTCAATATTTTGATACCTTCTCAAACTCTTTTGATCTCCACCTGTCATCACACAGAAAAGTAATGCTGAGGCAAACCTGTGACACGGTGATACATACACAGTCATTTGGAAATGGTCTTACACTGGATTGAGCCCTTTTCACTTTCTCTAGCACTTCTTGCAAAAAGTTCTCCAAAAACACTGGTGTAATGGCTTTTTTGTGGCTGTACTGAAATGACTCCCAGTTCATCATAAATAGAAAAGTCTTGTAAAAGCGCTGATATATCCCTCTAAAACATAACTCAGGGCCACACCAAATGGCGAGGGAGAGGGAGTGATGGAGGAGGGCTGGAGAAACAGTTGTCTAGCTGTGAGGTAGTAAAAACACAGGACAAGATTAAGCTCAACTATCAGTCTCGACACGAATATTTCGCCTAAGAATATTGTAGAAAGTTTGAAGTGTATGCATCGGGTGACGGAGGACTTGGACAAAAGAGAAGATGAAACACAGAAAATTTCCATCCTCAGTAGACGTGTCCCTGCTTATTATCAGGCAAATGGAGTGAGAAAAAGTGGAGGAGTGGCGAGCTGAATCTTTTATGGTTAGGGGGTTGAGGAAGGGAAGAGAATAAAAATCTATCAAATAGCTCTCAGTATCATGCATTTCATAACGTGCATTGTAGGTGCCTGTGGCATTTGAGGAAATGACACAATTCTTTCCCCCGGAGGATGATTCAAAGGCCTCTGTTCTCAGCAAAGAAAGCCTCCCTCAAGCATTACTCAAGTGGACTGAGCATGCACACAAAATAAGAACACAAGTCTACAATGTTTCACTTCCTAATTTTTTAGTGAATTACAGATGTCCCCTGAAAGCTCAGAGCAGGACAAGACGCTGGCAATAATTGGGAAGCTCATATCAGTCGGCGTTGCACTAGAATTTCACCAGGTGTGCTCAGAATAGGCTCCATTATCCCTGTGGACGGTTATTTCCACATTGGTCAGGCTTTTACTTCTCGCTTTCTGTTTTTTTGATGCTGTTGGTGCTTATGTGTGCGTGTGTGTGTGTGAGATACGATGACGAGTGTGGTGAGCCACAGCAACAGTGTGCAGCCTGGCAAGGCTTAATTTTCTCTGCTGTGACCTCAGCTTCTTCTAACACAGTGACTGAGCTATTTGTGTCAATGAAACAAATGTGAATGCAGAGAACTTCCACAGTTTAGATTCTGTTCTGTTCTCTTCTGTTATCCTCTGGTCTATAGTATTCTGTGCTGCGCTATTGTATGTCCTATTCTTGTTCTATTGTGTTGTATTCTGTTCTATTCTATTCTGTTTGTACTGTTCTATTCTATCTGCTTCTGCACTTTTCCATAGTGCAGAGTGGCATTCTATTCTATTCTATTCTATTGCGTGCATTATTCTATTCTATTCTGTTTTATTCTATTCTATTCTACTCTATTCTATTCTATTCTATTGTGTGCATTATTCTATTCCATTCTGTTTTATTCTATTCTATTCTATTCTATTCTATTCTGTGCATTATTATATTCTATTCTGTTTTATTCTATTCTATTCTACTCTATTCTATTCTATTCTATTGTGTGCATTATTCTATTCCATTCTGTTGTACTCTATTCTATTCTATTCTATTCTATTCTATTCTATTCTATTCTATTCTGTGCATTATTCTATTCTATTCTATTCTGTTCTATTCTATTTTGTTCTGTTCTATTCTATTCTATTCTATTCCACCCTAAAAGCCTTTAATGCTGCTGAATGGAGACACTTTGTTTTCAACCTTCTCTTAATGGGATTTTAAATGTTAATTTCTCTTGCCTACTAATTTATTAACCGCATTTAAAGTTCTCTGTCGCCAGTAAACTGTGACATTTTTAAGAACATCCAATAAATGATGTTTGAATTAACATAAAAAATGTGATTTGCGCACATACATTCATGAAGATAACAGAGTGTGAAAGCGAGGCAGCAGAAGTATTGTAATGAAAACTTGTAGAAAGCTGATAGAAAGATGGAATTTGGAAAAGATAAAGTTGCAGATGGATTTTAATTCTCTTCACCACTGCAGCCAGCAGCTTGATGAAAAATGTTTTACCAAATTCAGTAGTATTATATACAACAGTAGATCATTTTCAGGGCTCATTCATTGAGAGATAAAAGCTAATTCTTTGTTTTTTTTTTCGCCATGATGCTACTAGAATTAACCTAGAGAGAAAGTAGCCTGGAAATCAAAGGATAAAACAGATAATTGCACCATGTTTTACTCATATTGTTAATCTCTCACTTAAGCAGGGTATATTATTGTTCTAAGTGATGATGTATGAAATATAGTACAGGAGCGATTTAAGCTAATACAACCCAGTATGTATCTTGGCTGTGTGGATGCTGGAGAGGGAACACTTCATGAGAGGACTTGAGCATGCCAACAACAACAACAGGCAGCTTCTATATAATTTCCAGTCTGGCTAATCTCCTGCAGGAGTGTGTTTGGCATTATGAACTATGAGGCTGAACGAAGACCAACACAGAGCTGCAGTGGATAATGTCCTATATGCCCTGAAGGAGCAGAAACTTCAGGTTGGCTGCACATGGCTCTGATGCCAAACTCGCACACGATGGAGTTGCTGAAGGGAGTGCCTGCCTCTTGGTACATTGCATTTCTCACTGTACAGTTTATAAATTACACGAAGCCGCAGAGAGAGAGAGAGCTGTAATTGTGACTTGCTTCTGTAGGCTGGTGATTTTGCAGTGATGGATCACGGGAGGATGTGAACAGGCTTTCAGAACAGTTGGGAAAAGAGCTAGCCAACGTCAGTGTGTGGCTCTTTGACAGAAACATTTTTTAATTAACTGGTCCTTTCTGAGTTTAAGACCAATTAGTAGTAGGAAAGTAACAGGCTGATGACCTGCTACACTGGTGCTGCACTAGATAGCAATATAGGAAGGGCAAAGCACAGCAGCTTCACATGACAAATACTTGTTTTTGTTGCCAGAAAAACCAGGTCTTTGGACAGAGAATGTCTGAGGCGTTTGTCGTCCAGCTTGATTCAGTGTCATTCAGAATTTGTCAGGAGATTTGTCCGAGATCTTGGAGTGGAAACTACAGCTTGCTGAAACAAGCTGACCACAGTGTTAGTGGGCTTCTGGTCATCTTTAACGTGTTACACATAAATGCTTTCTAGCACAGGACCATGCAAGAAACATCCCGATTGAGGATATAGGACCAATTTACCCACTATTGTCCACAGCATCGCCTTTTAACTTGAGGAGGCATTTCCCCTCTCGTTTCTGAGATTTAGCGTCTTTGGTGAATGTTTAAATTCTATTTTTCACCATATTTTTCATCTATATTTCACCATAAACATATTTCTTTTCCCTCTGTATCTGACTGCCTGATCATTGTACAGTTAGAATACATGTTTGTGACATGTATAATGTATTATAGTCACATTATTTTTGTTATTTCTGTTACCAAGTTGTTGGACATCTTGCTTAAACAACTTATTCACTTAGTTCAAATAACCAGGATTATCATATCAGGCATGTGTATTGAAAAAGAGAGATCTCTGTCTGTACGTGGAATTCAGGAAACAAGAAAAACATATATTTAAATCTCTCCTGAAACAGCATCTTCTGACACAATCTTCCTCCTCACCTTATAATTTTATGTAGTTATAATTTACGCCCAGGCATTACATCAGTTGCACTTATTTCGTTGAACTGCTGTAATAATTGTCTTGTTGGGTTATTTATAGATGTCCTTCTAAGCTATCTTTTATTGGAGGTATGTGTTTTATTGTTTATGTCTATTCGATGTTGTTAGTATTTCTGCCTTAGACTGTTAAGCCTGTTTAGTTTGAAAGCTGTGAGTGGGTGTTATTGGTGTGTTTGAATATGAATTTATGTGGTCTGTTATCAGGGTGTGTGATCTGACCCCAGGAATAGTAGCTTCTGTTCTGCTGAAGCTAATCTGGATCCTAATAAATGTAGTGAATGTACAGTGAATACAGTGAATGAATGACTATAGCTAGCAATGTAAGGTCATTACTTGTTAAAAGCCGCATTTAAAAAAATCAAAACAATCACATCAAAGCCAAATACAAAAATGCTTCAACTTGATGTTTATGTGTTCATGATAAGGCAAAACTGCTTATGTTGAGTTATGAAAACCTGTTCCTTCCAAAAATGTGGATTTATGAAGCCCCAGATCCACAGGAGAATGAATATTCAGCATAAGCTCCAATTAAGCTGTTCCAACCCTGGCCAGGTTTATGTTTGACAGATCTCTTTTAGATTACTATGGGCTGAGATTCAACTTATTTCTAAATAAATTAAAAAGTGAGTGAGTTTTAGAGATTTGATTGGATTTTTGAGTGAGATATTTGAGGGTGGAAATAAATCAGCTAACAGTATTGATTCACCAGTAGGTGTTTTTAACAGCAGACATTTTGATTTGTCATAGTAGGAAGTGGGTGGGGTGTCAGGGTTATTACTAATAATGTTAACAGTGGCTCTGTTCTATTCAAGTGTCCCTGTAAGACCTCTCTGCTTTGCTTGCCGTGATGTCGAAGTGTCTACTGTGACACATGGCCTATATTTGTCATTTTGACATGAACACATTTTTTTGAATTTTTGAAAAGCAACAAAATAATCCAGTCTGACTTCAACATTGCGATTGTAAATTGCAAGTATATGATCCGCAAATTCAAATCTGTGGGAGACAAACATCGTAATTTTTTACTAAATTTCATCATACCATTGGAATTTCTATATTATATAATTTGTTGTAATTTATAACCCAACATACCGACAACACTGATATGTCTGTGACAAACTAAAGTCAGCCAATAATAATGGGCATGAAAATGTACAGATCAGGCTCTGTAAGGAGCTTGTTTGCTGTAGTTACCCGCTTTGTTGTTAGTAAAGGGTTGTGCATGACGTCTATTGTGATCTTTGTGGATCTGTATGTTGCTAATGTGCCGTGTTTGGATTACCCACATTACCCATATCTTTACAGCACAAGAGCAACAATGGAAGCATTTAAGGGATTTTGTTACAGGACTGTTAATCCATTCATCAGATTTTTTTTTTTTAATATTTCTATTACATTTAGAGAATTCTGAAATATACTAAACCTAATCAGCGTAAAGCCTCCTTGACCCTGGAAGAACAAAAAAAAGATGTCCTCTTATCGGATATCAGCTCTTTGTTTACACCACAAACTGCAGCAGGCTGGTGGAAAGTTTTGCTGTTGTTGTTTATTCAGGCTGTGGGCAGACAGACGGGATAGACCAGCTGATCACCTTTTTTTTCTCCACTGTTTTTTTTTCACTTGGCTCTTTACATTTACTCTTTTCTTTAGGAAGACCTGCAGCAGTTGATACTGATGCCTCTCCCAAGCGTTGCCATTCTGGGGCAGGACCCCCTAACAGGTACAAGATAACAACATGATCCTATCAGTGCCATGTCTCTCAGCAGCAAGAAAGTAATTATACTTTATATACGAGTCCATATCTTGGCTATCTGTGAAACACATTAAGGTGATAATGATAGGGAGGATGGTGGTGGGGGGTGGAAGATGATGATGATAATGATGATGATGACAGTTATTTCTGTGTCCTCAGAGGCAGCTGTGGAAGAGCTCAGGCGACTGCTGCTCCTCTTACTAGGATGTGCAGTGCAGGTGATCACACACTCACATGACCAGCACGCTTTTTGAAGGTTGATAATGACACCAGTGTTGTTCACTAAACCTGCAGACACCCAGAATTTTGTACTGATGGTCAATATTTCACATTTCTGTCTGTCCAAGACCCTGGTCCAGGGTAAAATAAACTGGATGCATTGCCATGAAATGTAACACAGAAATCCCTGGCCCTCAAAGAACGAATATTAATGACTCATCTGATTGCCAGACTTTTTTTTAAATCAAGGCCCAGATTTCTGCTTATCCAACATTTCATGACAGGACAGCTCCTATCATAGCATCTTTCAAATTTATCTCATGGCAAAAGTGTTTGGAGAAAAATAGACATTTCCAGTGAAAAATGAATGAATATTAGGATTTTGATGGTGTCTGAAAGCTGAAGTGAAATGCAAGTGAAATCCAAATAAATGCGCTGTAGTGTAAAGTAATTTAAATCTAACTCTCTAAAAGTATTGATCTGGTAACATGTGAAATGTTAGAATCACTTTCACACGCTTACATGTAAAATGTTCATCCTTTGTTAAAATACTAATATGAATACGAATAATATGAATACAGCATTAAACATTGCTAACCTTTAAACAAAGGTTTTTAAATATTAAATATGAATGCGTTATATGACCAGCCCAAAGATATTTAGTTTACAATGATGATGATGATGATAGTTTTGCTTGAAAAAAAAACCACACTGACTGATTATCAAAATAGTTGCAGATTAACCACACACACACACACACACACACACACACACACACACACACACACACACACACACACACACACACACACACCTGACACCATTTCATCCCTCTTTGTCTGCAGTGTGAGAAGAAGGAGACATTCATTCAGCAGATCCAATCTCTGGACATTGAGACCCAGGCGGCCATTGCCAGCTGCATTCAACAGGTATGTTCAAGAGCCAAATTAATTAACACCCCACATATAAAAGGCATTCAGCGACTGGTCATCAGTATGAGGGGATATTGTCCAGGGGAGACACTTCTAAAATGATTTTTGTCCCTAAATATGATTTAGCAAAGAATTTCTTCACTGTCTGGCCTGAAGGCTGACAGAGTGAAACTATAATACTTTCCTCTGGTGCTCCCTGTAAGTGTGAAAATTAACTACTCATCATGCTGCTGGCTGCCTTTTTAGGACCTCTGGGTGCCCCTTGCTGCTACCGTAGCATGGATCCTGCAGCTCATGTCCACTTCTCCATCTCCACCTCTGTCACATCAGCCTGTCTCCTTTTTTCTTTGCTGTCATCCTCCACTGTCCTCTCCAATAAGGCAGAAAGGCCAATTTGTGCTCTTTTTAAAAATACCCCCTGTGAGTAATTGCCAGCATTATACAAACAGCATGTTGCATAGCAGCGTGTCTGAATTACAGTAACAGCATGTTGCCCACCAGCCTCTTCTGTGCCAGGTTTCTCAGCCTCATAAATCATAGAGGTGAGAGGTGCTCTTCTTGTGTGGATGGATGCACCCCCTGCTCGCTTTTCATATGCCTTCCACTCGAGGACATTCCAAACCTGTCTACATGATTATTAGTTTTGCATGTATTAGTCAGGTATTTTTGGACACACATTCCCGATAGAAATGTAAGGAAGATTTTTTTTTTTCCATTGCACATCGATGCATTTCTGCTTGGTATTCACACAATCTTCCTGCTGCCTGGATCATTCGTCCCCAGATCTGCCATTTTGTGTCGGGTTATCCCAGACGCACATTGATCTTATGATAGAGACATGACACACTGTCCTTGCTGCAGGTGACTCAGGATCCTCACGTGGTGCTGCCGCTGCAGTGGGAGGAGCTGATGGAGGTGGAAGGTGCAGACTTACAGCTGGTGTTCAGCTCCATGGCCAAACAGATCCAAAGCCTGCTGGCAAATAGAGACACACACATGGAGGTATGCATATGCACACTTAAAAGAATAGTTTGACATTTTGGAAAATACACTCATTTTCTTTCTTGTCCTGAGTTAGAAAGATTGATACTACCAGAAGATTGATACCACTCTCATATTTGTACACTAAATATGAAACAACAGCCAGTATCCAGTTAGCCTAGCTTAGCATAAAGACGTGAAACAAGGGGAAACAGCTAGTCTGTTCAAAGGTAACAAAATCTGCCCATGAAAACATAAATTATATTATCTTATAATTTCATACCACATGTACATTGTCACTTGGATCATTTTGTGTACAGAGTAGTTTGAACTACTTTTTCTAAGTAGCTATAGTTAACCAAATGAGGTTTCTCCCTGGTGTAGCTTTGCTGGAGTTCAACTTCTTCCCATGTAAAGTAATTGGTGGCTTGCAAAGTTCTGCTTTCACATTTTTGGGCCTTAAAATGATTTCAAAGGAAATCTTTTTGGGCCTAGTAGTTTAAGACTACATATGACATATAACATATTAACATATAGTACAACAACAATGTCCCTGTTTCGATTCCTGCTGGGGACTTTTGATGCTTGTCATACCTCTCTTTCTCTCTCCCTTTGTTTGTTGTCTACTTCTCCACTGAAAATCTTCCACTAAGGACAAAAAAGGAAAAAAAAAAAATACCCCCAGAAAATGTGTTAGATGTTTTTGTCTCAGACCTGTACAATGTTTGCCATCACACGAACATGATGTTTTTATGAGGTTATGAGGAAAATGAAAGCATTGTGTCAGATATTTGATCAACATTTTATATCTTATGCTGCTCAGATCTCATATTCAGTTTGTAGTTGTTATTTACCACTAACAGTTGTAGCAATTCTTCCTTTTAGGCAACAAAAGCTGGTGTTAAAATGGTATTTCAGATAGTGCTGTAGGATAGATTAACATTCAGAAAACATGAGCATACTGTGGAACTTGAAGTTGAAAACGAAAATACATGTCACTGGACTGGAGTTACTCTGTCTCAAAAACAAACTACAATAATAGTATTTGAGAGGTACTTTGAAAAGCAAAGTCATTTTTTTCGTTTTTAAGACCTAGACCCCAATTATTACCAAATGTATGAGCATGTTTTCTTAGTTTGACTCTTGTTCCACTGAGATCTGTCACCAGTTTTTGCTGGATAAAAGGGCATTTTAGTTTTGAACAGTGAATAATGTTGAAAATGTTCTAAACCTTTAGCAACAACCTTAATATGAGATCAGCACATCATAAGGTAATCCATTTTGATCAGATAATTTCCACTGATTCAAATAAGCTTGATGAAACAAAGGCTCACTTTACTGTTCTGAATAGTGTAACTACATGGAAACAGAATTTTCTATTGCTGTAATGTCATAGAAAATGTCAAATAGATCAGAGGCACGATTACAAACAAAGAAAAGTCATTTTACATTCATCTGTAGAACAACAAATAGTTTAAAAATAAAATATAAAAAAATAATGTACCTGCAGTCAGTGCAAAATGAACCAGAATTTTAGTCACTTTACCAAACTGTCTGTTACACTTTAAGGGTTTTAAATTTTGAATACCAACACTTCTTAATTTTAGTTACCAATCTCTTCTTAGTTCCTGTAACTCTCCCATAAACCCTTCTTATCCTCGGCCCTCTTTGTCCCTTGCCATGTCTCTCAACCCATCTCTCTCCCCCTCTCCCTCCTAGAGGATAGCAGAGATGTGTCGGGAGCGGGAGTCCCAGGCTGACTCAACCACGGCGCCCCTGGGTGGTCACAGCGAGGAGCCACCCCAAGGTCTGGCACTCCAGCTGGCAGACAGCAAGGCCAAACTCCGCCGCCTTAAACAGCAACTGTGAGTGCATGTGAATGAAGGCTATGTGTGTGACGGAAAAACTCAAGAGAACCTTTAGGGAAGTAGTGATAAAGGTCAACATGAAAAATGTGCAAATGATTTTGTTACACTACAGTACACACGACTGTCAGTTGTTACTCAGCAACAAGTAAAGAACAAGTAAGGTACTCAGTGCTGGAATCCAATTCCCAGTGTATTTGATGTAGACTATATCATAAAGGTCACTGTTGGCCACTTATCATTTCTTACTTTTCTTACTACTTACTATTTCTAGCAAACAAAATTTGCTCTATACTTTTGTCAGCCAATGTATCATAAACAAGGCTCAAATAAAAAAACTGAAAATGATCTGTGAAAAAATGTATGATTGCTTTTTTGATTGTCGATGGTTTTATGTTTGACTTTATTAGGGAAGACAAAGGTGATCAGTTATTGGATTACACGCAGGAGATACAAACCATGGAGGAACAGCTGAAGAAACTTCAGAAAGAGGTACACATGACTTGCACTACCAAATTTGAGATGTTTGGCTTTTTTGTAATAATAATATCATTCATATTTTTCATAATATTGATATTAATATTAATGATACAATTTTTAATTTAGTCTTTGTTATAATTTTTTAAGCACTTTGGACACACAGAAAAGCTTTATCAAACGTAAAACTTTTTTAGGCTTATAAAGGATACAGCACAGCCAACAGCACAATACACAGGTGTCTTTTAATAACCAGTAAGTCAATTCCTCTTTGGTTGTGTCCTTAGCAGCAATTAGGCTGCACACATTGCAGCCAACTTTCTGTCCCAGCTGTACAGATTAAATGTTCATAATCCAGAGCAAAACTACATGTGTAATCATAGGTCATATAAGGTCATAATGCTCCTTCATTGAAGAAGCCTTCCTCTAATCGTTTACTTGTATTTTTCTGTTTTTGTAGTGCTAGATTTACTAACAGTTACGGATTTTGTTATAGCGTCAAAAAATCACAAACTCTTTGGGTTTTGGAAGATTTTTTGATTCTCCAATAAAATGTTTGGGTATATTAATTTTCTTCCCACTGTGTAACCCTTACCTTAGTCTGAACTTGAACTGAACTTAATTCTAACTTTTGACTGAGATCCTATAGAAGAGGTGTGTTTTTTATTCTCTCTCATCCTCATAAACATGCAAGCATGCATGCACATGCGCACACACAAACACACACACACACAAACACACACACACACACACACACACACACACACACACACTCACACACACACACACACACACACACACACACACACACACACACACACACACACACACACACACACACCTCTCCTCTTTCCTGTATCAGACTTTGTCAACATTTGCTCTACTGCATATCCCAGATCTGTGCACAACCTTTTTTGACCTCAACCCCTCTGCTATTTTAATGTGTATGTATGTGTGTGTGTCTGTGTATCTGTGTGACTGTGTGTGTGTGTGTTTGTCTGCAGAACCGTTCTCTGCAGGGTGAGGTGAGGGGAATGCGTGCACTGCGGGATGAGCTGGATTGCGCCCGAGAGCGAGCTGCACGGGCTGAGCAGCTCCAGACTGAGCTTCAGAGCTGTAAACACAGATTGCGCAGCCTGGAGCTCACACGCACTCAGCTGAAGGTACACACATGCACACACAGACACACTTCAAGCACACAACTATCTACACACACTTCTGAATAAGTCATTTACACCAGAAAGACAACTGGAAGCACGGCTACATCTACACCACAAAATACATAAGAGAGTGCTTTGGCAGTAAGTTACATATAGAAATCTCCCATACAGTGCAACATCAAACATTGCCTATACATAAACACCCAAAAGCACACACACGTTACAAAGCAAAGCCTTCATATAAACATTACTAGCGAAGGTCACATCAAGAAGATCCCTTTTAAAACCTTTCTCTGCGTAGCTATTATTTTTAAAAAAGAAGTACCACTTAATCTCAAAGGCCATATATTCTGTCTCACGGCTGTGAGCATTTCAATCAAGAGTGAGTATGAACAAAGTCAGAGAATGAGTTTATATTGTGTGATGTCATCAGGATTTACAGCCCGGGGGCTGCTTCATTGAAAAAGAGCTGGAGTAAGGCTTCAGTTATTGGAGCTTTTACACCCAAATGAGATTTATTCTGTGGTAGTATAACTGTTCTGTGGCAGAAAATGTGCTCATATCCTTGTAAAACACCTCAGTGTCCTCGCTGTCACCTTCTCAGTCTTATTTGATTTATTCCGCGTTAGCGCAAATTAGCTGGCAGGATGAATTTTTCTCATGTTTGGATTTATAACTAATTTTGACAAATGACAGTGCAGTTTTTGCAGAACAGCTAACATTAAATGTTTATACGCAGGGTTTGTCTCTTTAAAAGAAAATATCCACTGCAACGCACTTAAAAGACACTCTGGATTATAACAATTTTGGTCTTATTTTCATAGTTCTGACCATCATTTCTCTGATGACTCGCCTTACGTGTTGAGAAATGAAAGTGACATGCCGAAAAGGAAGTCACACAATCAGACCTCTATGGGCTCGCTCACTTTTTGTTTTACCTCCAAAATAAAGTGGTTTAGATAATCGGGCTAAATTGTTGCCTTGTTTACCCTATGATTGTCTGACCGCTTGTGTTTATTTTGGTAGCAGTGTTTCTAGACCTAAGTGATTACTCTGGTGGGCACGTTATCATAACCGACAGAGACAAAGGCGAAAACTACAAAATAAAACCTGAATTATACTTTGAAATTCAGTTAAACATGTATTGATGTTGCTTGTCGTAGTTCTGAGCCCATTTTGTTGCAGTTGTTTTTATCTTTTTAAGAAGAAATCATGATCAAATATCAAGTTTTAGTGGTTGTCCCTCAGAATTATGGAACAAAAGTTTCTTTCCCGAAAAGGAATAGCAGCCATGAGTCATGTTTGGTTTCTTAACTTTACCTAAATAGAGAATAGCATTAAAAAGTAAAAGTTATGATTTAAAAAACTATGGAACAGTTTTCAATACCTTACCCTGCAAACACACAGATTACATACCATAATGTGCTTTGTAATCACAATGCCCCTGGTCTACTGGTGACCTTTGTTGCGCTTTATTCTCTTTCTTTCTTTTCCTCACCATTTTCTATCTGCATCGCTTCTATAAACTGTCTAATAAAGGTAAAACATAAATAGTTATAACTCTTGGACTGTAATATTGCTGTCAAGACATATAATTATAGAGGAAACTGCTGGTCATGCTCATAGAAAAAACTAATAGCAGTGGGCAGGTTAGAGGAAGTGGTTCCAACGTAAATTACATCTGTGGCTCACAGAATACATGAAGTCCTGACTATGTTGACATTGTTCGTACTATCTTGTGTGCTAGTGCTGACACGTGTGGGTCAAAGATCAATGAGCTTTAAAATCTACCGTAGACACATAAAAAACAAATGTGATTCTCTCAGCTAATGTTTGGCATAAGGTTCCGCCTTCCTGAAGTCTGATTGACGTGATGACGACTCCACCTCGTCATATCAGTTCATGTTTCCTCTCTCTGTGCGTGGCGCCCCCTGCAGGAGCAGCAGCAGCTGTGTGCAGCGCTGCAGGAGACCAAAGCTCTCCTGGAAGAACAGTTGGCAGGTGCACGGGCACGCTGCTCTTCAGTAAGGGAGCTGGAGAGGGACAATCATCTGTTGCGTCAGAAAATCATGGACGTGGAAGCGGTGGGTGGAGCTATGATGTGTATTTTTGTATTTGTCTGCGTATTAGTAAGCATATGTGTCTTTTTGTGCCGTATGTTTGTGTGCTTGTGTACATGTATGTCTAAATGTGTGTGTTATTGGACATGCTTTTTAATGTGCAGGTTTTTTTGTGTATGTACGTGTGTGTTTACAGTTACAGTTAATGTAAGCAACTGCGAGGAAATTACCAATATTCCTTAAGAACCTTGTATGTCATGATTGTATTGATTGTATTATCTAAAAATATCTATGTATGTTGTGTGTGTACCCCTTGAAATCAGTTTTTCCTGTAATGAATGACTAAGCACCTGTGTGTGTGTGTGTGTGTGTGTGTAGGAGCGGGACACCGAGAGGCAGCGAGTTGACGAGCTGCTGGAGATGAACATGAGCCTTGAGGCGGACCTGAGGCACATCAGCAGCAGTGGCGGCAGCGGTGGCAGCATTCCTGCTCCGGTCGCTGCAGTTCACCAAAGTTTCCTCCAATCAGAACTGGACTCTGACGAGGAGCTGAGCGAACTGATTGGTCAGAGCACCTGCCTCTCTGCATCCTGTCATTTAAGACATTTTAATTAACTGATAAGAAAAAATATGTTGAGGCAATACTGGCCCACAGGTTATCAATCAACAATAACCGAGTGAATCTCTTCACGTATCCATTTCTCTTTCTCTCCATTTCCATTTTCTGCCTCTCTCTCTCCTCTTTTTTCATCTTTTTCCATGCTTTATTCTTTACTTCTCCCTTCCTCTGACCCAGATCAGAAGCCGCTGAGTGTGGAAGTGGGCGAGGCTTCAACGCTGAGGCTGCTGGGAGCGGAGCAGGAGAACGCGGAGCTGAGGAGACGACTAGAGGAGCTGCAGGCCCAGCAGGAGGTCAGGGTTCAGGGGTCAAAGGTTATGACTCTATGTCTACATACTCTATAGCAGTTTATCTCTCCCCATGTTACAGGATGCATATAAATAATGGATTGGAGGGATCAGTGATTGCAGTGACACAGAGAGGAGACAGAAGAGAGAAGCACAAGTCAAACTCCATAATATATGAAGCAGAGCACATACAGAGTTTCCACATGCCTCCACACCCTTACGTATCTTGATCATGAGGAAGAACCTTTCGTGTGTTGAATGAAAATACTAGTAGACCTGGCATCTCTGAGTCTGCCTGAGCCGTTACAGATGCAAATGAATCAGGAAAAGCAGGAAGCAGCAGTTGGAGGAGCTAACCATCCATCTCCTCTCGCTGCAGGCTGATTCTCCAGATGCAAAGGATGAGCTGGCCTGCCTGGAGATGGAGCATCAGAAGATACTCGGAGAGGTGAGCAGAGAGCGACCTAAAGGTTGTTTTAGACCCAAAATTAACAGATGTAACTGAATTGTACCAGGTTTTTGGGATATTTGCCTGCTTTGTCAGAGACAATGTTCAATGAGAGAGGGCTAAGAATATTTAAGTAGTAATATTGTCTAAAAAGTAAGAAAATGAAAATTTATGTATAAATAAATATATACATTTGTATATAAAATATTCAGTAATCATAAAGACTAGGTGGAAATGTCTGGTAGTTTTGTGTGGTAAACAAGTAGAAATCAGACTCAGTAGACTCAGTAATTCACTACTTTAACCAATTATTACTACTGTTATTATTAACGTTAATTTATTTTTTAACAGACACATTAGGACATAAATATACCCCCCATTTCACTTCATTTTATGTTGAATGTCTGTGGAAATATTTATACACTTTGGACTCTGATAACCTGTAATGGGCGTTTGTTGATATTTTGACACTTTTATGATGAAGTAATTGTAGATAACATAAGTAATCAATATACTAAATGAGTGCAGCGCAAAAAATGGACAACAATATGAGGTAGAAATAACTCAGAGCCTGTTGTTTGAACTACCAGTTGATAAGAAGAAGTGGAGGCGGTTACTGGATATAACTCAATCGACTCACAGCTGAAAGTCTCAGTGCTGCAAACGAATATGTGGTTTCTGACTTAAAGTAGTTACAAACAGCTGCAGAAGCCACTTATCAACCATCCAGCAAATTGGATCAAAATGGATGAATCTACAGATCAGTGAAAAACACGGGTGACCTGTTCAAATGTAGAAAAGCTGTTTTTTTGCATCCCCTATATTGTCTGATTTGCACTATTATCTGTGATAGCTGCAGCCTGATGTTATTTTCAGGCTGCCTAGTCTGGACTCTTCAGATGTCTCTGTGTTTATTTGTGCAGAGGATTACCTTTGTATACTACTTTTATAACTGAAAAGCCATTTAAATCAATCTCTAATTTCCTCATTGGTATTTATCCTTTTTTTACTTCTTTTGCTACTTGTGTTGAACATGAATGTATTTTTAAAAAAAGAACAAGAGGTAGTTTCAGTCTTTTTGCTCACAAAAGATTCCAGTTCATTCATGTTCAATACAGGTAAGCACCGAAAGAAAAGAAAGGAAAAAAAAACAAGCAAAAAGGCTGTGGATTCAAGGCTCTGACAAGCATAGAAATTTCTCTCCCATTATTCTTTTCAGTTTCAAAATTTGAAGAATGAAAATGGTACTCTGAAGCAGCACCTAGAACAGCTTGTGACCAAACTGCAATTCCTAGAAGACAAGACGAAGGAGGAAGGAATGAAGAAGCCAGACAGAGGGGAGGAGGAGAAGGGGGAGAGAGGAGTCCAGGGATCCGAATCCTTCCGGGGAGAGGGGGAAGGAAGGGTGAGGATGATGGAGGGAAGGGAGAGAAGAGGAGAAATCATCAGGACCCAGAGGGAAGCAGGAGTTGGTGAGGAGGTGCTCCGTGTTCAAGGGGGAAAAGGTGAACCATGTAATGAGGAGACTGAGTCCAAAAGGAGGGGGGAGGCAGAGGGAGGGCAAAAAAACAGGGAGAGACAAGAGAAAGAAAGTGACCTAAAGGAAGAACAGATTGCATTAACATCAAGCACAAAAAGCACACAAGATACCACAGAGACCTCAGCTGCAGACCAGGCTGCATGTGCCCTGCCTGCTCCTGATGTGGAGCTTCTGACAACCCGGCTCCAGGAGGCCCAGGAAGAGGCTGACAGGCAGGCGACTGTGGCCCAGGACCTGCACTCCAAGCTGGCAGAGCAGAGCAGGAAAACCTGGGAGGCTGAGCAGAGGCTGGTGGTCCTGGAGGCAGAGTTGCAGCGTCTGAAGAAAGCTGCTGAGAGTCTGGGAGAGGCCCGCAGGCAGATAGAGGTATGGATGGATGGATGGATGGATGGATGGATGGATGGATGGATGGAAGGAAGTGTGAGTCAAGGGAAACTCAGGAATGGATGAGTGACTAAGTTGGAGATTGTGTGAAATGCTAATAGAGAAATTAAGATCATGGATGTTTAATGATGATGGATGAGCAGGTGATGAATGGCTGGGTGGATAAAATATCTAATACTACAAGAAACACCCAGCATTCATAAGAGAAGCCAAGAAGAGACTATTTTCTGATTCAATAAATAAGCTTATTAACATTTAATAACGTGTGTATAGAGAAAATCAATATTTACTACAAATTAGTTAGTAGTTATATTTAGTTTATAAGTATTTAAGAGAAATTCCTTTGAAATAATTGTTGTTCTAGACTTAAATACCTCAACAACTATTGGATAGGTTGTTGTGAAAATTATCCAGCAGCCTCCAAAATGACCATAAAGATGACCTTCAGAACCTAATAAACTGACAGCTGAATGCATATACAGATGTCTATATGGACAGATGGACAGCTGCACAGTTCGATGAATTTCCCACCGTTTTTCTGTCAGGTCCTTCAGTCTGAGAGTCTGACCATGGAGGAGGAGCTGTGCCGCCTGCGGAGCCAAACGGAGCTTCACAGGATGCAAACCACGGTCATCGCCACCCTGGAGGGAGAGCGGGCTGCACTGGAGAGAGACAGGGACACGCTACGCAGCACGCAGGATGCCCTGCGCACCGCCCAGCGCAAGGTTGGCGAGCATAGAAACGCACACACATGATGTTATGACAGCTGTGACACCGAACATTTTCATGACCGCAGCAGATGTCACTTTAGTGAGGATGGACGAGGGGTGGATAAAAAATACATGTACAAACCAAATGAAAGGGAGCAGAGGCTTTTTGATGTAACAACAAACCCTCAGTGACAACATTTCATTCCATTTTTAATAGCCAATCTCGTTATTCTGTAATCTCTTTAAATAATTACTCGGTTACATTAGATACTTTACATTAGATAGGGATTCTCCTTGCCAAATAAATTTCTCTCACCATCTCTGAAAACTAATTATATTATTGCATGGAGAAATTGTTCAGCAGGAGGTGGACTTAACAGCATGGAGTGAATCAGATGATTAAAGCGGTCTGAGGGTGACACAACATGTCTTCACACACCCACTACTGCGCAAGAGAGTCTGTTTTGAACTGTTCACATATGAACAAAAAAGTAATTCCACACTCAGACGAGACACCACAGGTCGAGGATCTGATACAACTTATTTAGTGCATTTCCTTTTTCAGACACTCCACTGCAGGTTGCAGAAGTCTTTGTGAATTCTGTGTTTAATTTGCTATTTGCAGTAGAATTGTGAGACATCAGAGAAATTGCAAGCTAAGGAAAAGAGCAGTGCTAAGTCAGCATTAAAGAAATACCATAAAAGGGATTCATGAATACCTCCCATTCAGAAAGACTTGTAGATAATCCCTCTTCTGATGTTGTAATATTCTATTGTGTTACCCACCCTCTTTTTATAAAGAGAAAATCCAGCCTTTATTTATTTATGTCGTACCTGCACTGTATATCTAATAGCGTAACCCAAACATTACTGCACATTACTTTCAAATACCACTAGTATTAACTGAGAAAATACCTTTTTTCTATTTACAGCCAAGCTCAGACATGTTTCGACTGTACAATGCACAGTCTCCAATTCAATGCAAATGAACATGCTAAAAATGAATGTGTTCTGCTATGATTATATAGCCAAAGAAACTGGGTTCAATACATCTATATGTTAGCATGGAAAAGAAGTGCAACAACCTAGGACACTGTTTAGTGCAAGGGATTGCACTCATCTGTCAATGATCAAACACAGTATAAAGATATAGATAACTTTGAAAAACAGTAGAGTATTCCTTTAATTTGTAAACACTAAAAGAGCAATCCTCTCTCTAAATGTTACAGCGGAAGAAATAAACAGAAATATTTCCTGTTATGTTTGAAGTAGACTTCACATTCAGACCAAAAGAACGAGAAGCAAAGAGTCAGAATTAATGGAGATTATAACAGTGCGTGTTAAATGAAACATGAAGTAAACTCCACTTCTTTCAGCTGTAGCAGAGGATTAAACCCAAACTGGAAACCACAGCTCAGCTACATCCTCTTTCTCCCCTTTGCTTCCCTGTTGTTGTTTGGGTTTACTGAACTACTACTAAACACAGAGGTGGACAAAGTACACAACCCCATTACTTTAGTCAAAGGATAGTTACTCCTGGTCAAAATATTACTCCAATGCAAGTGAAAGTTGATCAGTCAAAATTTACTTGAGTTAAACTACTGGAGTACTTGAATGAATTTTGGTATGGTCTATTACATTACATTCATTCCACTGACTAAAAGCTCTGCTCAAAGTAAAAAAGTACTTCATAGAAATGTAGTGGAGACAAAAGTACAATACTTGTCTTTTAAGTGTAGTGGAGTAAAAGAAAAATATATTCATCAATAAATGTAGAAACGTGACCGGTACAAATTAAAATAGCTTTAATCATCCATCTTTCCCCTTTTGCCAGTGCGACCAGTTAGAGCTCACCACCCAAACTCTCAAAGCAGAGCTGGAACGTCAGGGGCGCAGTTTGGAGACTTCTCGTCGTCGGGAGGAGGAGCTGGAGGCAGAGCTCCGCGAGGCCACCCTGGAGGCTGAATCTCTGGCCAGGGCGCGGGACCAGGCGTCGCTGGAGGCCTCGCGGCTGGAGCAGGAGAAAGAGGTGTGTCAGTCGGAGCTGGATGGCCAACGGAAGGAGGGCAGGCAGAGAGAGAGGGAGGCAGCGAGACTGAGGCAGCAGCTGGAGAGCACGACCCTGGCCCTGGAGCACAGCAACCAGAGAGCTCGGGCTCTGGACGCCGAGCACAGGTACACGCACTCCTGTAGACACACTTAACCTTGATCATGAGCTGATCATGAGCTGAGGTGAGCAATTAACTTTACAAGGCATCAGAGGGAGCTACTTGGCTGCACCGTGCATTTATCTATAATGTCAACTCTCTATTCATTCAACCTCCTGTCTGACCTGTGTGTGTGTGTGTGTGTGTGTGTGTGTAGACGTGTCTGTCAGCAGCTGTCTGAGTCTAAGGAGCTCTGCACTCGACTGCAAGACCTGGAGAAAGACCTCAGCACTCGATTAACCAGCATGGAGGAGGGTAAACAGCAGCTGCAGGAGCAGTACGCAGATGCTCAGGCCAAGATTAGCTCACTGTCCCAGGTGTGTGTGTGTGTGTGTGTGTGTGTGACATGGTAGTTTAGTCACTGACAGTAATCACTGCTGCTCTAAAGTAGTGGAGGCTAAACTCAGCTTTTTACCTTATCTAGACAGTAAAGTAGTGAGATTTGTTCTTATGATGTAAAATCATAGTGACTATTGTCCATTCTATGATGTTCTTCTATGATGATACTAATTCAGTCCGTTCATTTTAGAAAAGTGACAAAAGTCTGTATCTTCAGAGAATGTAGTTTGCATACAAAATTTGCTGGATTTTTCAGTGTGTCGTTGATGGACACTGTTGTCCCGAAATGCAGTGCGCATGGGAAATGGAGTCGCTGCTCAGAGGTGGAAAAAATTAAAACAGCCCTAGGAACAAAACAGTAGTGTCTGCGCTCATGCCTTATTTAGTTTCTAGTGCACAGTGTTCATTATTGCCCTTTATCTCTCTTTTATCAGGACCTTTCCAATGAGCAGGCATGTTCTCAAAAACTGTCCGCTGAGGTCGAACGTCTGAGCCAGAAACTACAAAAAGCCGAAGCTGAAAAAAAAGTGGCCACAGATTCTCTCAACCAATCACAGGAGAGAATAGAGTCGCTCTCCAAGTGCCTTAAGAAAAGTGAATCTCTTCTCCAGTTGGAAAAGCAAAGAAGAAGCGTGGATGAGGAAGCTACTTCGGATTCAGACTCGTCAAACAAAATGCACATTTGTCAGACACACACCCAGGAGACGTCACCTCTGAATCAATCCCCTGAAGCCAGCAAAGGTCGCGACCTTTCCATTAGCCATGATTATTCCACAGGAGGGACAGAGAGGCTGCTGAGTGAGAGGCTGAGAGAGCTTGAAAAAGAGGTATGTCTCTGTTTGAATATAATGATGGATGAATATGATGTGTGTGTGTGTGCGTGCGTGTGTGTGTGCGTGTGTGTGAATCTCATTTACAGGATGTCTATGTGGTTCAGTGCAACTTCTGTGCGAGGGAGATGATCTATATTATGTTGAAATTCTTGCTCTAGGGATGTTTGACGACTATCAACTCACAGTAGATGGCCACCTCCCCAAGTGCAGCACTTTATTTCGAGAACTACTGCTTTATCTCTGCTCATCAGTTTTTATAATGTCACCTCGGCTACTGTTAATCTTCCTTATCTCCTCTGCTGCTCTCTTGCTTCAGCTCTCACTCTTTCTTTAACTCTCAAACACACACACACATAAACTCTAACATCAAATTGTAAGGGGCAGCTCCAGCATTGCCAAGGTCAGGAATTTCATTCAATGCATTGTTCAGTAGGTATGGTACTGCATTATCACTGGATGAAGCAAGGCACCTTGAGGGTTCAATTCCTGGTCCCACCCATACTAAAGTGCGGGTGCGCTGGTTAATACAGAAGTACTCAGATCCTTTATTCAAGTAAAAGTACCATTACAGCAAATTTGTATTCATGTTTTAGATGTTTCAGTAATCTTTGCTTGTTTTCTGAAATATTAGATAATTTCACCTCTTTTGGACTCAAGCTGTTATTAAATAAAACCATCTGATAAGTTTAGAAGGGAAATGAGTGTTTGGCAGAACTGATCTTAAAAGTGACAAACAGAAATTGCTTTTTTGTAAAAAGCAAAAAAATGTTGAAAACCACTGGTTCAATCCTCAACAAAGTGTTGTATTTTATAAGCCCATGTAAAAGGCTTAAAGCTAGGCAGAAATCATGGGGGAAAAAATAAAAATACTCAATCCTCCTGCAGCTCTCCCTTCAAGGGCGTAGGCACACGCTTCATACACACATGCAACACAAGCAACGCAGCCGCAGCCTTGAGCCTTTGGCTACGGTTAGCAGAATGCTAAACTATTAGCAACATTCAGCAGAGCCACTCATCACCTGCTTTCATGGTAGATCTACCTACATAAACAACCACTACAAGCATTAGTTACACCACAGTATGGCACTATAGTACTACTAATAACTATACATCGTTACTTTCCACTACTGACAATGGCTGGGAGAATGTTATCGTGAGAAAGCAGAGAAGTAAAAATCCCCTGTGTAGCAGTGACTCAGTCAGGTGTTGAACACCAGAAATGAGCTGCAGCCTCTTTAGATGATGCCCACATGAAATGTGTTGTTGTTCTGCCAATACTTGCAAAAATGTTCAAATAAATTCTTCCTGTGTAGTGGGAGGAGAGCTGACTTGTGTTTTGCTGCAAGTTCATTTTTGAAACAAAACAACACACTTTTTTTTTTTTTTTTTTTTAAACTTCAGCAGTTTCGCAAAACACATTTTTATTTTTATTTTCTAATCTATCCAATACAATGACCAATCAACATATTCCTGTATATATCACAGCGGATTGCAAGTCAAAATTAAGTGTTCAGATTTTGCAGCAGACTCAGTTCAGAGGATGGATTTAATCTCTGTATTTATACATTTACACAAATGTCATATAAAGCTGCTACCTGCCTGAAAGTTCTTTGAAGGGTCAGCTGCAGATATTTGCCTCTGATGCAGCTGCTACTGTACACGGATGGTGACGCTCTCTCAATGCACTGCTTTCTCCCTCAGAAAGCAGTGGCGATTACAGGACAGGAGGCTCTGCAGTCGCGGTTGTCTCAGTCCCAGGAGGCGTGTGCGCACTTTAAGGAACAGCTGGAGGCTTTGCGCCGGAACTCCCTCAGCCTCCAGGACTCCTGCACCAGACTGCAGACACTTAACACCCAGCTACAGGTGACCTAACACACAGACAGAGAGCATGGATATGTCTGAAATTATCTGTTAGACTTGGAAACAGAACTTATTGGTGTTTCAGAAAATGACCTCACATTATTTTTTTACACCCTTGGTTTTCCTGAATTAAAACACAGTGACTCTTTTTGCAGTGGAATTTAACATTTTAAGGAGGGGAGATGCCATATTTTTAAAGAAACAGTTTGTCATATGGACAAAAACGATTAGATGAGAACATTAGTACCACTCTCATGTCTGTATGGTGAATATGTATCTGAAGCAGTTAGCTTAGCTTAGCATAAAAACTGGAAACAGGGGGAAGCAGTTAGCCTGGCTGTCTCCAAAGGAAGTGAAAACCACCCACCAGCACCTCCAAAACACACTAATACACTTGTTTGTTATTTGCGTACAAAAAATAAATGTATATATAAGACTTTTTCTTGGCTATGCGCAGTGACTTCCTGGAGTCTGGAGTCTGTTTGTTGCCTTGAAACTGCTCTGGCTTCATATTTTCTCCACAGACATAAAAGTGGTGTCACTCTTCTCATCTAACTTTCAGCAAGAAAGTGAAAACTACCAAAATGTCAAACTATTCCTTGAAGGTTTCAAGACTACACTCTGCATTGTGTCTGGATTAATTTTTCAACACAGTGTGCTGTTTGAAAGTGACTGCTGATGAATCTGTTCTGACATATTACACATTCATATCCATGGTACGTTTTATGTACATGAGTGTTCTACATGGTCCTAGCATCCCATGGGTGGAGCAGTATGCGTTAGAAAGTTAATAAACCTAAAGTAAAACTTCCAAATCTATGGCTTGTCGGCTTTCTGTTAAACCTTTAAAATGTTGTTAAAAATGACGGACTTGGTCTCTCTGTTCTGTACCACATCCCAAACACACAGGTGGACCAAGCATCACTGAGCTCTCAGCATTCAGCAGCGCTAGCCCGCTGTAGCGAGAGCGAGGCCCGGTGTGCGTCTCTGGAGGCCGAGTCTAAGGTGTGGGCCCGAGAGCGGGAGGAGTCAGTGGCCAGGATGGAGGCTCTTAGGCGAGATCACGAGCGGATGACGGCACTGCAGCAGCGACAGGAGGTGGAACTGGAGGAGCTGCTGGACAAACACTCTCAGCTGAGGAGCAGTAATCGTAGCCTGGAGGCCCAGCACAGGGAGCTGGAGGCCAGGTACAAACACACACTGACTATTTAAATAGACTCTTTTATATAGTGAAAAACATTAAATTCTCACTATAGAGAAATTTGATTATTTTTATATCATTGTGAGGACTTTAAGTTTTCCTAAGAATGGAAATACATACAAGAACAACACACAAACACAACTTTAAAGATACACAACGTGTCTTTCTGTCATACATTTTAAGTCCTGTTTTTATAGGTGAGGGTGAATGTTGTGTTTGCAATCTCAAGGTACAAAGAGCTCCTGGATGGTAAAGCCCAGCTGGAGGAGAGAGAGCAGGAGATGAAGATGGAGAGACAGGAGATGGAGGCAGAAGCCCAGAGGAGAGTGGAGAGAGAACGCGAGCTGGAGAGGCTGAAAGACGACAACGAGAGGTAACGAATCCAGTCAGCTTCTTCAGCGTCATATTCATGAGATCAGCGCTTTCTTTCTCCCCACTCCTCTCACTGCACTCATGGTCATTTGAATACAGGGAACAGCAGCATTACCTATATATACACCTATGTATTATCTACTATATATATATGAATCACGAGGAGCGACATGGGCATCAGTTTGAATACAAATGTATGAGAGGAAAATATAGAAATCAGGAAGCAAGAAAAGCCCCAACGCACAAGACATCAAAAACAGGACAGAGGAGCCACAAGTAAACATCTTGGATACATCTTTGTGTAGTTAAGCCTCAGACCTGGCTCACTAAAATCTGAGGTTGAGAACAGTTACGAGTGCTTCTGATTAAATTTCATCTTGGAGGTGGAGGATAATGATGATGATGATGATAATCATAAGATACTTGTGTAGCTTAATTAGTTCATCAGCCAGGTTTTCATTATCACATTGATGCAATTGATTACCGACTGACTGGTCTCAAATGCTGGGTTTCCAAGCTGGGATCAGGAAGGTCTCATTTTCCGGTTGTCAGATGCGAAAACATCTAAATATAGAATATGCATGCCAGCGCATTTAAGAATGTCCCTTATACCTGTTTAATTTGGTATTTTAACTGAATTAATGAAACTAGGACTTGAATGATTAGACCTAAATCGATTAGTCCATCAACTATTTTGACAATTTAATAATTATTAACTTTCAGTAATAGCTTCAATAAATATTTCTTTGATAAAACAGGATGTGGTGATGATCGTTACCAAACTCTAAAGTTCTGTTTGCTAACTAGTTTGCTGCAGCCTTTGACAACTTGTTTCCTCTGCCCTCAAGTGGAAAATTGATGTAAGTAATTTATAAAAAAAAATCACTAGTTCCAGCTTCTCGGATGTGAATAGTTTCTGGTCATTTTTCTCTTCTATGATTGTAACTATTATTATTTTGGGGCTCTGGGTTGTTGGTCAGACAAAACAAGACCTTTGCTGATATTTTAATCCTTTAATCTAGAAAATAATTAGTGGATTAACCGATAATTAATCTTTATTTGCAGCCTTAAAAGAGGTCGATGTGTTTAACCCTGAACCATTCTGTACACTAGTTCAATTTGAACTTACATTAAAAAAGTTTTATTCCAGAACACTTTGAATCCACATTGGGAAAATAAAGTTTCCACTGTTTATTACTGAATATTGAGAAATTTTCCCCTCCGTGATCATTATGAGTTTCATTTCATCTCATCACAGTTCTCATTACAAAATAAAACAAACATGATTTACCTCTATAATGCTACTATTTGTAAGCAATAGTCTAAAACCACTGAAAGACTCCAGTGCTGCTCCATGATGTGTTCTTCAACTATTTTGTCTGAGATGATTTATCTATTGGTTATTGTTTGGCTTTGAGACAACTCATCATGTCGTGTAATAATATAATAATGAGTTCTAGTTGGAGAGTTAAAGAGATACACAACATATAACATTGACAGTGATGAGTAAAGCCGCTCTGTGTCGGGGTTGCAGGCTGCAGGCCCACCAGAAGGAGTGGTTGGCGTCGCAGGCGGAGCTGTTGGCTCAGGGCTCTGTGCTGCGGGGGGAGCTGAGCGCCTCCCAGCTGGAGCGGACTCGACTGGAGGGGGAGCTTAGCGCCCTGAGGGAAACCAACCAGAGCCTGGACCTCAGCAACGCCCGCCTCACCAGCCAGTATCAGGTATTAACCAGACACACGCGCGCACGCACGCACAGACACACAGGTATTAACCAGACACACACGCACGCACGCACGCACGCACGCACGCGCACACACACAGACAGACACACACACAAACACAGGTATTAACCAGACACACACACACACACACACACACACACACAGGTATGAACCAGACACACACACACACACACACACACACACACAGGTATGAACCAGACACACACACACACACACACACACACACACAGGTATGAACCAGACACACACACACACACACACACACACACACAGGTATTAAACAGACACACACACACAGACACATACACACAGGAATGCAGCTGCAGATACACACAGGTGTTTTGTATTCAGGCTGCAGGTCGACTATTTACATGCAAAAAAGGGATTCAGTGCTTCACAGAGGAAACACTTGGATACATTACCCTCTTGAAATAAAGATTTATTTATTTAAAGTGTTATTGGGCAATTAAACAAAATTTATTAGGATTTCATTGCAGGTTTTATTGAGTACTTTACATTGTTGTGGTTGGGGACAAACAACTATCATATCAGTAGTGGGGAACAGTGACTGGCTGATTTCTAGCACTTGATATAAATCCAATTTCAGCTTGACATATCAAAAACAATGATGCATTGGTCCAAACAGAAAGTGAATACCAAGCAGCTAATAATGAGCAGGGACATCTTTTGCCTTCAGAAGAGCTTTAGTCAGCTGTGTAATGCTGTCAAACAAGCGCTAAATACTGAAAACATGTTTCAAGCGGGAGATTCTCCAGTCTGTCTGAGGGATGAAACAGGTGGAAATTGACTTCCTTGTAAAAGGTTTAAGGAGTCAACCAGCAGATGTTTGGTTCTGCTGCTTCATCCAGCTGCTCATGAAACCACTGCTGAATCATCTGTTCCTATAAAAGCTGGTAAAGGACATTTGGTCTGTTGACATACAGCATGTGTACAAATTAAGTTTGGACAAGAAAAGGCAGAGACACAAAATTCAAGACATGTGCAGACCAGACTGTTTATTGAGATCATTGTCAATTTGGTCAAACCATGCTCAGTTTTAATTTAAGATATTACCCACCTTTTAAAGGAACAGTTATTTGCTCATTTAGTTTTTTACCAAAAGTTGGATGAGTAGATTGAGATCATTCTCATGTCTGTACGATAAATATGTAGGTAGATCCAGATGAGCCAGACACAACAGAATCCGCCTACCTGCATCTCTAAAGCTCAATAATTATGTGATTTTTGTGTTTTTTGGTTTTGAGCAGCAGAAATGCACGCAAGTCAACACATTACCCTCCATAAAACAATGAATTATCATTTTTACATGTAAGTTTTCGTACAGAATAAACAAAATCATGTCAGTTATTGAACTTCAGAGGTGCTGGTAGGTGGATTGCTAACAGGCTGCTGGCTGTAGCTTTATAGCTAGCGTACAGACATGAGGGCGGAATCAGTTTTTCATCTCATCTAACACTTGGCAAGAAAGTAAATGAGTGTTTTCCCCAAAATGACCTTTAAACAGATTAATGATGAAAAATGCAGAACTGGCTTCTGCTGTTGAGACTGATGAACCCTTTTTTTTTTTCCAAAAATTACATTATTTCCAGGTTATTTCTTCTTGCATCAGTTCTTCGTCTACTGAAGTTAAACTGTCCCTTAATGCAAAACAGTGCTAAAAATAGGGTTGGGCGGATCCATACCTAAAGTGTCAATACTAATGATACCGATGATCATGGGATATTTTTCGTCCTAACGTGACAGTAATTAAGCTGCTTTTAAAAATGAAAAGTACAGATATCAGTGTTGGTATCTGTGATCCTGGTCCTGCTGTTACTTGGTATCAGATCAAAATTAAATTCTGTGGTATCACCCAGCCCAAACTAAAACACTTTAAGTATCTGCATTCCCATATGTCACACTGGATACCTTACTCAGCCCCATACAGTGCTATAGTTAGACAGGTAGTTAGGAAATCAGACACCCAGGCATCTCATTATGCTGTTTTGCCTAGGGAGACGGAGTAGCAGAAAGGTGGTGGCTCTTTTCTTTGATTAAAAGGAAAAAGTTCAACTTGGAGTCTGTGTAGGCTCACAATTAACCTGTTGTAGCTGCTGTGTGAACTACGGGGATAGATTAGACAAGACTGTGTGTAAGAAGGCAAAACTAATTGGAAACAGATTCACAAATAGGAAATGAGGAGAGATGTTCAGAAAGGTGTGATCGTACCTTCTTGAGACACTTTTATAATCTTGCATGATAAAAGTTTTCAGTTTATAGAAAAGGTTTGTGGTTTGAACACGGTTTTTAAGCTGAAAAATCTATTCAGATGTAGAAAAAGGCTCAAAGACGAGCCATCTTTACTTTATTCAAGCCTAGTTGTGCTTAACATATGCTCCATATATCTTGTGATGTGTTCCTGTGTTTTAGCCGTGTTAACTCCTTCAACAACATCTTCATGAAACTTGCGATGCTTAGATTTTCTTCAGACAGCTCCAAAAAGCTGAACAAAGTTAAATGAATTGTTTGGTCATCTGTGAGGCTGCAGTCAGTCAGTGTTGGTGAGCTCTAACCTCGTGTGTCTCAGTTTTACCTGGTGTTGTTAAACAAATTTGTAGATTTTGTGACCAATACGTCAGTGATACAGCAGCTTTTAAAAATGAACATCAGTGTTGGTATCTGTGATCCTGGTCCTGATGTTACTTGGTATCAGATCAAAATTAAATTCTGTGGTATCACCCAGCCCAAACTAAAACACTAAGTATCTGCATTCCCATATGTCACACTGGATACCTTACTCAGCCCCATACAGTGCTATAGTTAGACAGGTAGTTAGGAAATCAGACACCCAGGCATCTCATTATGCTGTTTTGCAGAGGGAGACGGAGTAGCAGAAAGGTGGTGGCTCTTTGCTTTGATTAAAAGGAAAAGTTTAACTTGTGTACCACCTCTCTCTCTCTCTCTCACACACACACACACACACACCCACACACGTTTATATATGATCTGTCCGAGCCATTCATTTTGACTTACGGTCTTGCTTGTGCAGCTGTTGACCCAGCTGAAGGGGAACATGGAGGAGGAGAACCGACAGTTAGCAGAGCAGAACCAGGGTCTGCTGAAGGAGAACCGGGCCTTATTGGAGCAGAGTCTGGAGCGCCGTGACCAGCACTATTCACAGCAGAGAGAGTACCAGTCAGTACACACACACACACACACACACACACACACACACAAACGCCAAACACGCACACACAACCACGAAACCGGTCATAGGTTTTGCTGAGAAGCTTCTTCATGGTATTTAGATACAGGAGCAAGCTTTATGTGTGTTAGAGAAAATGCAGTTGGTTACCATTTGTAATTTTGTAGGAAATAACAGTCTGAACTCATATCCAGTACATGAAATAGCACTTATGTAAAAGGTTTTAGACTGTGAGACAACAATTTCACAGTAAAACAGCACTCGGCAGTCGTCCTTTTAAATGACTAATAGTCTGGTAGCAGATTAATCCAGAACTAATAGTGAGCATGCAGAGCTGGCTTCACCCTTGAAGTCTAATGAGCCAAATTTCTCACAAATGATACCTTTTTGCAGCTTAATTTTAAGCTTTCATTGTTGAAAAGATCATTTTTGCCTGTTCAGGTTTGCTTTCTCCCCCTGAAATTACAGATTAAAATGTCACTGTTAACATTTCACATTTCAGAGTGTTTCACGGCACATTTCAGTTCAGCACCCTGCCGTGCGAGGTCTATAGCCTCTTACACCTGTAACACTGGTGAGTTTATATTATAAATGCATGTTAAATAGCCATCCGTTGTTCATACAATTTATTTTTAGTCCATATCAGCATATCATCATAAAAAAGACAGAAGTCACACAAAATTACACAAGAACCTTAATTAATGCTCAAATGAAACTGGTATCTTACCGTAGGATTGCTGATGACTTGTCCAGAGTACATCCACCACATTGCCCAGTGCATGCTGGGATATCAGAGTATAGAAAATGGCAGAATGCATGAATCTTGGTTTTGACCATTAGAGTTCATATATTATGGCATGATATCACTTCAAAGACTCTTTGGAACAGGCAGAAGAAGAACATGTGTAATGTGCTTATTTGTCATTAACATATAATTAACACTGAGATCACTAAAGGTTAAAGTGGAGTTTTTGACCAACACGTGTTGGGGAAGAGTAAATGATGCCACAATACATATTCCTGACTATGCTTCATGCTACTGCTCTGATTCAGTTTTGTAGTTATTAGTTGTGTAAATAAGAAAGTGTTTGCTAAGTTCATCCTATCAGCTTAACAGCTGATAAGATGTTAGTGTTGTGTGTTTAGCTTGTTGTGAGCAAAAAAAAAAAAAAATCAGCACATGCAAAATACAATTTGTTTTCGAGTCACAATATTGTTAAACATTCCTCATCAGATAAAAGTCAGTGTCCCCCAGGTCGTGGGTTTGCACGTACTGGTGACTGACACTGTTGAAATTTAATTGGCTGGAGTGACACAATCAGCGAGGTGTTCTTAATATCAAGCGCGACTGGTGAAGACGGGACTTGTTTAAAATGCTGTTGCATCACTGTGGAGAAGCGGAGGCGACCTTCAGGGTGTCAGTGAGACCCTGCCAAGTTTGTATAATAATAGTTTGACTTGAGTCCATATCAAACCTGACCTACCCACTCCCAAAGATGAAATATTATTGGAACATATTATTTGTACAGAGTGCCAATTTTTAGACATTAATTATCATTCAGAGTGGGAAGAGGCAAAAAACAGCAGGGCTCTTAAAACCAGTAGAAAAAAAAAAAGATTTGTGCATTGTTTGAAAAGCTTTATACTGGGGGGGGGGCTCATCTGGTAGAGTGTGTATCATGAAGGCTTAGTCCTGACCACAGCAGCCTGGGTTTGAATCCAACCAGTCCATTGCTGTATGTCATCCCCTCTCTCTCTAAAGAAAAACTTTAAAATGAAACCTCACCAGATTCCCTGATCAGTCATTTCCCTTCTGAGTTATTCAATAAGGTTTTATCATCCCAAGGCCTGAGGTTTAGATCCAAGGGCGTTCAGTGCATTTTAGAGCAGTTTATTCAAACTGGAGTGTTCATTCCTGTAGTTCAGGTTATTTGAGCAGGATATGCAGGTCTCTGTCCTGAGCCAGTAAACTGTGGTGTGGTTCATTAGGAGTGAGGATGTAATCCAAACTAACACCAGGGTACAAGTCCAAATAGGACAGAAGGGGACGGATGTTATTATCTCATAGCGGGCAGTTTCTTTTGCTTGGAAAAACAGGAATTAGATATGAAGTGAAGGCAAATCACAAGCTGGGCCGAGGCTCATATTCAGCTTTTTCTTTGTGTTTGTAGATGGAATGAAAAGCAAAGATGAGTTCATCATGGAAGGATAAAATTTCAAACAGAATGGCATAACAGTGATCTAACATGTAAACAAATATAAATACAAAATACACCAATGTAACATGTCCACTCTGGTTCAGATTTAATATATATATATATATATATATATATATATATATATATATTTTGTTTGGATTACAAAATCACTTTCGCTTGTGTGTGACACTGAGACATGATGCAGTGACTGTGCCTTTCCAGACTAATGTTGGGGGAAATGTTGTGAATCCAGTGAACAAACATGAAGAAGCATCGCAAGATTTCATAAAATGAATCAAACTGGCCTTCAAGGGTCCTTCATCAGACTCTAAACTGTGTCTGATTTCATAAATTTGATACTGATCTGCTGCAAGCTGGATGACTTGATTTGTAGCTGATGCACATACTGAAGGAGGGGGATTTTGAAAAGGTAATACGGCACAGATCTGAAGGAAGCAAAGATAACCAGAGCCGATGACCATGGTATTAAATTAGAAAACATGCAATAAGCTAGTCACAAATATGAAAACAAGAGGTCTTCAGCCAAGCTAGCAGCTCTGAGGCTGTACAAAGGCACTGAGGTCATTTGAGGTTTGAGCTTAATGCCAAGGTCAGCATGCTAACATGCTAACGCTAAACAGGAATAATGTTCACTATCTTAGTTATTGTGTTAGATTGCTAACATTTGCTAATTAGTGTTAAACAGAGAGTACAGCTGAGTCCGCTGGAAAGTCATTAGTTTTGTGAGTGTTTGGTCAAAAATAGAGTCATAAAGTCATGCTATTAACCTGGGTACAAACAACAAATTAAAGTTAAATGAATGTAATACAGTATCATAAAATGTTGCTTGTGTATTATTTAAAAAAAAAAAAAAAAAAAAAAAAAAAAACTTGCATTGTTTTCCATGATTTCTACCTTACAACAACAGAAAAGCCTTTACTGGAAATTTCAGTCCAGGCCAAAGTCTTGGACTGATCAAACAACCAACATTGCCATCCCTAAAGTCATTCTGCTCACTAAAAATGTACAGGCCTTAAGTAAATGTCTCATTTTCCATCCCTGACTGCTGCTCATCTGCACCAACATCCCTGATCTTGTCCGCCCACAGCTGCGTCTCAGTAATCAACAGTCAGTTACAGTCAGTGACTTTGTGTTCAGTATTCTTATTCTCAGATGTCTTTTATTCTTCAGGGGAGATTTGCAAAACGTGCAGGCTAATTCTGAACAATGTCCTGCTTTGTGTTTGTCCACACAGCAGCTCGAAACTCTGAACCCTCCACTCACCACCAGCACATAACCATTAACATCCACACAGTCTCTTTTCTGATCTGATGGTTTAAAAAGAATCCAGTTCAAACAGCACAGCAGGCTCCATTTCTCAGTAGTGAGTTTATAGGAAGGGGTTGAATCACACACCATCAGCCACATTACATACACACTTGCAGAATAATCCCATCTACTCATGCAGATAATGAATGCATGAAATAAATCAAACAGACCTTCCTACTCAGTTTTTTTTCCCCTTTATCCTCTTCTCAGCTTTTTTTCTGATGCTTCGTATGTTTTCCTTCAGGGAGAAGCTGAGTGAGCTCCGTCGAGAGAAGCAGAAGTTGGTGGAGAAGATTATGGATCAGTATCGAGTCCTCGAGCCGAACATGCAATCTCCAAACATCAAGGCCAAGTACTATATATTTATATGTATAGTATATATACACCTACACCTGTACACAGAGCTGCCAATTTATTGTATAAGCCATTGCAATTCTAAAAATGGAAAAAAATGTTTTATCATGGTCGTCAAGTTTTGTCAGGTTTTATGTATCAGTAATATACTGCATACTCACTACAGGCTTGTGTATTATAAATGGATCTTTCTGTCAGAGGAGCTAATTCAGCTCTGCTTTTACTTCTATTGCATTATAATGAAAAATATTCCTTATATTTTGTACACTCTACATGATACTAGGAACACCACATTGAATCTTAAAAAGTGCTAACAAAAACTACACACGATAAACTTCAGGAACATAGGATTCATTGCAGGGCTTTTGTATGTCATTGTTGTACATATCTATCTAAAGAGATGACAACTTTGTATGTATTTTTACTTATTTTTAATCACATAACAGATTTTGTGAATTAAAAATGACAAGAATCTGGTTGGAATTGTTACAATAGGATTTCAAAATTGTTTCAATATTACGTTTTATTCCTTCTGATAAGCTGTTGGCAAACTCAGATAGCTGCACTCCAAAAACACGACAAATTAGAGGCCGTCTCGCGATGGGATCACACGAACCGCAACACCCGTCAACATGTTGACGTTCTGACCCATGAGTACTATTGACAAAATTAGCACTTTTGTTTAAAGAATTTGTTCTAGTTGTTGAGATTTCAGAGCAGGATTTGAGGTTACAATATATCTCTATAATCCTTTGGATGAAAAGTTTCTATTATATATTATTGTTCATTATGGTAACAGTTGTTACCTTTTTCTCTATATAAAGGTCACTGGTGGGTTTTTAAATAATTTCTATTATCCCTAAAAACCTGTTGTTTTTTTTTAAGTTTGTGTATCATGCCTAAAACCTGGAGGATGGCCTCGTTCTGTTTCTCTACAATAAGATGGTACCACTCATTAAAAGGAGGAGGATATCACTATAGCGATGCTCTTGTGAAGGCCTCTTGAAGAAATGAATAAGAAAATAAAATGCTAAACAGAGGTCATAGTATTGAGCCTTCTTTTGTGTATTTGGAGCACAGCTATCTCAATTCATAAGTGCAGGTTTACCAGAATGTCCAATTCAAGGAAGCGTGTCTTGCACATCTGACGAGCATTTTGTACCATAAATGTAACTTTTCATGATTAGCATTGTTGTGTACAAAATGCTCAACTGTCTGTCACAAAAATACATTTTTTTCCCCTAGTGCTACAAATTAGTATGGTAATGACATTTTAATTATAACATCTCCGAACTGATTTTCTTGATGTCATGTTACAAAGTTCTTTCTTTGGCATAATAAATGACAGTTGGCCCCTTAGGAAACATTTTGCTCTCATTTTGAAATTTCATCTAAGGGAACAAACACTGCATGATGCACAATATATCATTGGGAAGAAGATGTGAACTACTGACACTTGGCATCCTCCTAGTGTTTTTCTGGAAAAAAAGCACACACACACGCGCACACACATGCTCTCTTAGCTCATCCCTGTTTGTAAATGGTCCCTGTCCTCTGTGTCCTCATAGGAAATCTAACTGGATTGCAGACAGAATGAAGAAGCTAATCAAACCCCGCGGAGGAGGAAGAGAGGGACGCGCCCTCTTCACCGCCGCGGGCAGCGTGGAAAACCTGGCCGACAGCACTGAATTTACATCAGATGCACACACATCTCAGCCTGGTGAGACCACACACACACACACAGACACAGACACACACACACACACACAAGCACACCACCTCTCTTTCTCACACACAAACACAAGCTGACTGGTTTTCACAAAGATATGCTCACATGCTCTACCCATCAAGCAAGGCTACAGGCATGCATACAAATCATCTCATGACTACCAAGTGTGGTCGGTATTGATACCGCTCTCTTCTCCTTAGATGTCTCCCTGTAGAGTGCCAAGACTTACTGAGGCCGGCTTTCTCTGCTAACCAAATGTTGAAAGGAAAAGATTCGCGAGGCTTCATTCTCTTTTTATGCACCTTGACTGTGGAATGCATTTACTGACAGAGAGCGGGGGGAAAAACTCTCTGCAGACACTTTCAAAGCCAAGATTTAAGCCCCCACCTGCATTCATGTCATGCTTTTCTCTTTTCAACATACTATTAGTGCGTCCATTTAATTTTATTTTCCATTCTATTGTGTTTCCTATTATCCCCCCTGCTTTCTTAAAATGTGTGTTATGACTCAAACTGGGAGGCCCGGCTCTTTTTATTAGGCCGGCATCCCAGAGAAGAAGCAGCAGAAAATCTCTCCAAAGTGGATTTGAATGGTTGTATTAAATAGATGCTGCATGAAGCAAACAAAGTATGTCAAATTAAAACTAATTCAAATCCTTGTTTAATTACCCAAAATAAACATGATGATTGATGGTTTTTGACGTAAAAAACAGAGAGAGACTGTTTGAGCCAGGCAAGACATTTCCCACAAAAACTCCACTCCTTCCTATTTTCTTTGTTTGTGGTGACCTTTTCTGTAACGCCTGCATTTAACCCTGAGACTAACCTGCTTAATGGCTGGTTAACGTGACCTTAACCACTGGTCTCTGGTCAGTTTATAGGCTCTAGTCTAGTGATACAAGACCTAGTTCTGCCACAGCAATTCTTCATCTCATTAAACTAAAGGCCAGATTTTATGAATCATTTTCAGTTATATGCTTTTGATATAATCTACTGTTAAAGAGGTTTGGATTGCCGTTTTGAGACCATGTTGTTTACACATTTTAGGCAGCATTTTCACCATTCACATTTTAATTCTGTATCATCTCTATTATCATCATAACTCTCTTTTCAAATGCCTGTCTGTGTGAGAGAGAGAGAGAGAGAGAGAGAGAGAGAGAGAGAGATAGTGAACTGCACACTGTCAGCACTAATATTACTGAAAAGGACTCAGGCATTAAACTCAGTCTGTAGCTTGAGTCTGAAGATGATGTTTCATTTTGAGTTTAATGTCTTAAATGTCATAAAGGCAAAGGGAAATTAAATGAAGAGATTGCTATATTTCAAATATTGATGCATCTCAGGAGGAATCACAGTTTACAAATGAATGAATAAATACTCAACATATGTGCTCAACTGAACTACATGAATGTGGGTCACAAACCATGTATTTGTAATTGTTTACATACTGCTTATAATTGCAAAACAGGTGGTTTAAAAATAAAAGGTTAAGCACTGACTTTACAGTTATTTTCTACGTCAGCAGAGCCAAGTGATTCACAGTGCTTCTCATTCACCCACTCACACACTGATGGCAGGTGGAGCTGCCTGGCCATCAGGAGCAGGTTTCAGGGTTTTTAATCTGCTGCCCAAGGACACTTGGACAGGACATGTGGACAGGAGAAGCCAGGATTCAAACCACTAACCCTATGATTAATGGCAGACCAGCTCTACCACCTGAGCCACAGTTATCACATTTCCTTAATTAATTTCCGCACCTGCCATTGTTGCTGAGACTGCGGTCGCAGTGGAAGAAAAGTTCTTCCTGGTTTGTGCTGCAAAGTAATTGAGCAGGTTGGACTCACATCTTAGAATGAATGAGCCAATGATGTAAGCTGATGTCAAAATATGATCACCTGCAGTATAACATCACTGTCATCCTCTTTGTATAAACATGGGATTTTACTAATTATAGGGTCAGACAAAAGATCAGTCCACTGTGCTAATAGCTCCCAGCAAATCAACTGTCAAATCGATCTGACAGTGCCTGACAAAGATCTCTGGTAGATCGAAACTTGGCTTTATTAAAATTGCTGGGAGCTATTAGCACAGTGTATCACCTATTGTCCGACTGATTTTTGATCCAGCAACTGTGAAAGTTTTTTTGGATGTGCCTGTTTGTCTTTAATTAATAATAACCATTTCTCAACCTTGAAATAATTTCATACTGTTTCCAGATCCCCGCAGCGCTCCAGTTTCTCCTTCTCTCTTGAGAAAAGCTCCATCGCAGACAGAACCAGACATTTCAGTTCCAGGGACTCCAACCTTGCGTTCTGGCTCCGGGGGCCGTCGTAAGCTGGGATCCCGTCACGGCTGGGGGCTGGGCTTGGCCAGAGGAGGCTCTGGAGTTTCCCAATCCTTCAGTCCTGGTGACAACAAGACACCTCCCCGCCAGCGTCTGCGCTCCAGCCAGAACACCCCCACTGTCCTCTGGGAGGGAGACAGGGGCGAAACAAACGCACCTCAGGCAGCAGACACAGCACTGACAACTCAGGGGAGTGTTGATGAGGATCAAGGGAAAGGTGAGGAAGAAAAAGTGGAGTGAGGAAGACATGTCTGTGCACTGATTTTCAACTAATGAAAGAATACAGCAAAATGTCCGTGCAAATGTTAAATAAAAATGTAAATTACTTGTTTGGATGGATGGTTTTAAAGTGTGTATGTTTGCCAGTGTGCTATGTGCAGCTCGTCGAAATAGATCTATGGGCAACAAGTTAAATGTCAAGCTGAAGAAAAATTGGACTGTAAAGTAAAACTGTGCCAAGAGAGTAGTCAACATCTACAATCACTCAAAATGCAGATAATATTCTTTTGATTAAAACGTGGTTGTGCTTATTAGACTGTGATCTTCTCTGCCTTCCAGACAATCAACACTCCAGTGACGACACCGCAACGGCCTGAGAAAGACCTCAATAAAGTCGTCAGTCGACTTTCAATTAAAAAAAAACAAATGTTTTTATATTATGTGCTTCCAGCAAACTGTATTAATGCCGCTTTTTTGTATGTGACTATTTTAAATATAAAAGGTCCTTGTAGTATTTTTGAATACATGAATGAATAAATACTTATATCAGTGATTCTCAGTGTTCCCTGAGTTGCAATGAAATAAACCATCTCTCTAGTGTGGAGACTGCAAACTGACAAAATGTAGTTAAACCGTTTGTAGTCAAGTCAGAAATAAAACTGAATACATCAATAAATAATATTTTTTACTTTTACCACAAATTAGTTGGTATGTTCATATAAGTTCTGCATTTATCTTTAACGAGCTCATGTAATTTTTAACTCCCTTAGTTCCTGTTTTTTTATCCTTTTTTTTAATCTTTTTTGTCTTAGCACAAATTCAATTATTTATCTATTCCGTTTTAAAGTTAACATTGGTTTCTTTTAATTTTAGCTGCAACTATTAACCTTAACAGAAAAGTTATTGTAGCCCAAATGATGATCTTTCTCCAACCCTAACTGTCAAACCAGTCAAAAATCTACACCAGCTGGTCCATGTGATGTTAATCATCCATATTCTGTATTGCATACTGCTGTAGCATCACTGTATAAACTCTTTAAATAGTGACCTGAACTATTATTTAAGGATGTTTTCGACCCAGCCTTCTACTACATTGTGCCAGTTTTGGGGCTTTACATGTACGTACACTCAGCAGAGACCCGCAGCTCTACAGTGTGTATGGGAACACTCAATTTCAGATGCTTAGAGAAGAAATCAGGAAGTAGATTCATAAGGGACATCATAAATGTAAACATGTAGTTCAATGGTGGAAGGAATAAACAAGTGGAGCATAGCAGATAGAAGTGAAAGCCCTCATATGCAAATTTCACTTAAGCATTAAAGTTCAGTGCTTCATCTTGTCTTCCATAAACCTTTATAGGATTAACTTAAAATGTTCGTGTTCCTGCTGCTCCCTCTGATTGCCTCTTCCTTAAGTTGGCTCTCTCAAAGTCAAAAAAGTATCACTTTTAAGTGCTGATCACATATTTTCTGAGACATGCTTCCAGGAAAAAAAAGGAGAAGCTGTTAGATACCAGGTACTCATGAAATGTTGAATATTAGTTCTGAAACAAGCTGAACCAAGAGCATAAAGATCTCTGGAATTGACATACCAAACAAAGGTGCCACACAAATCTGTTTAAGATTATTTTTTAAGTAAAGAACGAAGAAAAAATTATTAATTTGCCTGCAGTCGATTTTGAGGCATCTCTCTGAAGGTCGGATTTATGCAGCAAGCAAAATAAATACATAAATCTAATGATAAACCTCCTTGTAACCCCCGGATCTGATCTGTGTACAGCAGGATAAGCATGGAGAAGCCTTGCCATCTGGCTCACATATGGTTGAAAAACCTATTTCATTTTAGGGTTCCTGTGGAAATCCAGTCATTGATCTAATGGCAAATGATCTGCACTCGTACTTTAATGAGAATCGTCCTTAACTCCTTTTGCTGTTGCACCAAATGGTGTCAGTGTGGAGCTGGCCAGGCCTCTGTCAACAGAGAAACAGACAGACGGATGAAGAGGGGGGAATTAGCATGCAGCTTTTCAAATGAGCAGACCTTAGAGTTCATCATGAAACTAAAAGGGCCCTCTTATGAGACATGCAGCTCCCAAAGAGCTTTCCTCCACCCAGATTAGGACGAGGATACGTCAGCATTTCCGGCAGGGGTTGTTTTTGAGTTTGTATGTGCGCAGAAGACAGCTCTAAGGATAAAAGAAGGCCGTAGCTCTTTTTCTCCAGCCTTCCCTCCCGGAAACACACATCCTGAATTATGATTTGCAAATGACAAATGGATCGCTAATACAATTCATGAATTATGTAGTTGTCATGGTGACATTAATCAAAAAGTAGGGCCCTTCTCTCGGCTCCGAACATTGTGTTTGTGGAATTGAGATGCATGACGGGGGTTGCACACCGAGCCGGCTGAGTGAGCGCAGGGCAAAGCGATAGCAAGATATTGGTTCTGCCAGTCACTCAGAGGCTTATTATGAGTGCAATGCAACAATCACACGCCCTCAGGCACACAGACAGACAGCGCCCACAGACAAACAGTGAAGGGTAAGGCTTTAAATCCTCAACGGAGGAGCCTTGTGGTTGAACACGCAGCACAAGTGTAACACAAGTTATTTTTCTCCACTTACAAACCTCTGCTCATTATCAAGAAATTCTTTAAGAGGAGCACTTGAACAGGAAGATGAATAAAAAAAAAAAACAGGAATGTGCTTCCTTAGCAAAATGACCCTTGTTTATTCAGCATGATCTCTTGCTGAAATAAACCATTATTTTTAAGGATGGGGTTGTCCTTGTGAGCATAACAAGCAATAGTGACATCAAATCAGTCAAAAAAAGCCTTGAAGGAAAAAAAAAAATAGTGAGAAAAGTCTTGGCACAAAATTAGTGATTAAGTGCCATCTACACTCCTGATTTCTGAAGCGATGAATGATGGATGGCTGCCTTGGCTGACATCATGGCTGGATCTCAAGAGTCTGCCCAGCTGTTTAGTTATTGAGCACCTGAGAGGTGTTAATGCTATCTGCGGAAATCACTTAACCAACCCTGCTTTTCAGTGTTTTCGGCGTTCTTCTTCTGGCACAGACTTTCATCTCAGCCTTCTCTCTTTTTCCTGTTTCTCAATGAAAGTCTTTTCCTTTTCCCCCCTCCATTTTTCTAACCACGAAGGCTCCGTCTACTTCTGCGGCTCTATATATCTTCCCTCATCTACACCCCCCTGCCCGCCCGTCCGTTTACCTCCATTCCTTGCTTGTGCTATCAAATTTTAATGACTGTGTCTTACTAAAGAGCCTCCAGTGACCAAAAACCTCACTTAAACCACTTAGTCCACTAAGTGAACAGGCTGGGAATCCTAAATACTTAGAGGTGCATTAGATTTTTCTTCAGTTGTGGTGCTTGTGTGAGATGAGTCTGTGCAAGTATCAACTGAATCCAAATCAAGCTGTTCCTCAACTCTTCCCAGGCTCGTCTCTGCAGTCTGGCTGCTTTAGAATCAGCACACACCATTGAAACTTCAATTTGGGTTAATAAAAAGTTGTAATCTGTGGTTTGTTGTTAGCCATTTTCTCCCAGCAGAGGCCCCTGGTGGGGCAGGCACCAAGACAACAGAGCGGTGAGGTGATCTTTGATCGAGAAGTGGTGGTGTAATTCAATTAATTATATTTTGCTCCAGGCAACAGAAGTCAGGGAGGGGATCATTGAGAGGGAGCACAGTACAACTAGGTGGAAAAATAACAAGTGGAGAGCGTGTGCTTGCACACCGGCTGACCCTGCAACCTCGCCTTCTCACAAAACTGTCAAAATCTCTGTGCTTTCACTGGGCTTTTACTCAATGAGGTTAGTCCAAAGGTGAGTCTGTTCATCTATAACTTCCCTCCCTCTGCCTCCATCTATCTCTCCATCCCTTCCTCTTTACCCCACACTCCCCCTTCTCTGCTATTTCATCATCGTCCTCTCTCTCTGCTTCATTCAGGATCGCTCCTCTCCTAACAGTTTGTCCCTGCAGCTCCCATCCCTCCTCCTCCTCCTCCTCCTCCTCCTCCTCCCTCATGCACTCCCTTTCTCTCTCCTAGTGTATTAAGGGGCTTTGACGCTCTCAGTAAAAGCTGATTTATTCTCTGGGTGGTATCGATCGGTTTCTGCATTAAAGATTATAATTCATTACCCCAGCCCCTTTTAATACATTAAACACTCAAAATAAAAATAAAATAACCCCCACCCACCCATCCAGACTCCCCGTGTCCTGAGGGTGCAGGAAAACACTCTTGTCGAGACGTCCGGCCTGTCGTCCTGGGCCCCAGAGCTCCACCTGTGTCTGTGTGTCTGTGTGTGAGTGTCTGTGTGTGTGTGTGTGTGTGTGTGTGTGTGTGTGTGTGTGTGTCAGATGCAGGATAGACACATCAAGCACAGGGAAATGCACACAGGATGACAAATGCACAATGTGAAATCACTAATGTTAGTGGCCAAAACAGTCAACAATAGACAGAGCCGCAACAAGTAACTGATCAACAGTAAAGAAATCGTTTTAGTGACCTACTGTATAAAGGCAAAATGCCAAACATTCACTGGTTCCAGTCTCTCAAAAGTGAGGACATCATGGTTCACTGAAGGTCTTTGGGTTTGGGGGTTGGTTAGACAAAATGAGACATTAGAAGACGTCACCTTGGGCATTTTTCCCCTAGTTTTTAGCCATGGTAACAGCGTGGCTCTAGGGATAATGTCAGTCTGTCATTTTCCAGACTGAAAGTCAAAGGGTCAAAGCTTTCACTTATTCTGTGAAATATCTCAATATCTGCTAATTGGTTCAAAATGTGGACAGACAATCTTAGATGATTAATCCTAATGGATTTGATGATCCCCTGACTTTTACTCTAGCGCCACCAGCAGGTTGAGATCTTTGGATCAGTCAAATAGCTCAACAGCTATTGGATGGCTCGCCATGAAATTTGGTGCACACATTTCCACCATCTCATCTAGTGTTTTTGTTTTTTCTTTATCTAAAAAAATAGATGATGAATCTAGTGCCATCAAGTCAAAATTAAATTTTCTTAGATTTTGACCACAAACCTGCAAAAATCATTTAGCAGTCACGTCATTTAATCAAATCATTGTAGCTCGGCCTTTATGACGGCAGCAGAGTTAGTCACAGAGCCGGAGGGACGTCTATGTAAAATGGAAAGCCAGCATGGCGGGATGGACACCAACACTATTGTGTTACACATCACATTTCTGATTCTGAAACGCCGGCATGCTATCTGAAATCACACACTGGGGCGGCATTTGTTTGGTTCAGTGTAAACAAGCAAAGCTAGCATAATGAGGGATCTACAGCAATATAGAAAGATCTATTTAAAAGAGGAAATAGACTAAACAATTACTTGAGAAAATAATCTGCAGATTTTTGTTAGACAAGATAGACCCCACCAATGCTTTGGCCACCAACTGAGTATAGATTCCTTTCAGACAGGTCAAGTTAAGGATTTGTGTACTGCCTATGTACACTCCCGTTTGTCAATACAGCTGGCCTCTGTGGGATAGTAAGGATTTAAGAAGCACCATGTGTCCCCTATTGATTTTACCCCAAATGACTGCACCAATTCCCTGCACAAAACAAGATTGCCCTTCCCCATTGTCTTGACAGATTGATTTTGTATCTCAGCCATGAGGACTTGAGGAGCATTCCCTGATTCTGCCTCCCTAGCACTGTCACTCAGACGGACAATTTCCCTCTTCATCCTTACCTCTTCCTGTCTCTCCTCTTTCTCCTTCCATTAAAAGGACTCTCCTACCTCGAAGCTCTAACTT